CTCTACCTAAGGTTATACACATTTTTTCAGTCAGATGACTAGTTTCTTGCTCCATTAACTGTGTTGAATAGCTCTGCATTGGTAGTGATTGGGGAGTAGACATCTACATGTAAATGTTGGGTTTTTTTTAAACCTCAGTTGGGAGCCTTCAGCTGATGAAAAAAAATCATTAAAAGTAAGACAATATTCTGAAAAGGCTGAAATTTTCAAAATACTTCACAGCCAACCCTATCACCCCTAGTCCTACAGAGTAATATAAGGAGAAGAGAGAAACCCAGAGACCATTCAGTCCTACACATTCATTTTCTGGTTACATAAACTGTTTCTGCATTCAGTTTAAAATTGTGTGAGGTTTAGTAGGACTCTGTGGTAGCCTGCAGCTGTTCTGGTTGTGTCTGCCTGTGGGGCTGGGCCCTGCTTTTGCTATTTCAATGTTGTAGGCCAAAGTTCTTCCAATAGTTAATAGCTCTCTAAATTATTTTAGTACAAAAAAACCCCAAACCCCACGCTAATTTTTCTAGCAAGACTTTCTTTCTGGTGTTGCTTTTAGTATCCTGGCATAGTTCCCAAAGAATGCTGTCTTAATGATTCATACAAATATTAATGCTATCAGAAGGAAATTATTTACCTTGAATGGCTTTAAGGAGATAGAGCACTGAGAAGCTTACCTTTATCAAGCCTGAAAGTAAATCTCAACTATTAGAGGGGAAAAATAGTTTTTTGTTCTTTGGGCTTATTTGTAAGTCTGTCTCAAGAAAGGTAAGTAAAAAAGTTTCTGGTGCTTTCATGGAGTCTGAGATCTTTGGTGAAATTTGGCATTATAACTCAAGCTGAGTCAAGATGCTTTCTTACAAAACTTTTTTGTAGCAGTTTCTGTTCTGCTGTGAGTGAAAGCCATGTGTTTTGGAGTCTTGGCACTGAGGAAGGCCTGTCTCACTGCAAACAGCATGGTCCTCTGCTGATGCTTGATGCTTGGCATGGCTCATGGGCCTCCTGAAAGAGGAACGTTTCCCTTGGGATCAGAAAATTGGGATTTGAAGTTTAGCGTCTCACTCGTTTTCATTGGAATGCCTGGACTATTGGGTCAGGGACTATTCTGAGCTTTAAGTTGTGTCCTGTCTCCTAGTTGGTTGTTTGTGCATGTATATTGGGTTTTGGGTTTTGGTTTGAATGCCTTTTTTTTTTTACTGCTCTTTCTGTGTATTGCTTCAGAAATTTTGTGGTGATCTCAAGAACTCTTTCATGATGAAAACTAGTGCATATAGTTGTTGTGGTTTATTTTTTATTCTCTGCGAAATGGACAGGCATCTGCAAAAATCTTTGGATTCAATAAATTGTCATTTCTTGGTGAGAAGATATAAAAACAAACCCAAGTAATCATCATTTAACTTTTTATAGGCTCTTTCCTTCCTGTGTAAAGTGAGATAAAACCCAACTAGAAACATCCGCTAGGGAATCTTGAATTATGTGCATCTCTGAAGGGGATATAAGTGATGTCTTCGCTTTAACAAGTGAAGAATGTGAAATACCTTTTGCTTCTCTGTGGCTGTGCTTTGTGCAAAGTAATTCCTAAGTACATGTTAAAAGGAAACCGACCAAAATTCAAGATCCTCCCATACTTCTCTAAAGGATCTTCTTCTCTAAAGGAGTCTGTTAATTAAGGTATCCAGGTGCAGGCTTACCGGGAAGGATGCCTCAGCTCCTCCCCCAGGCTGTGATGACCAGTATTACATCTCTTGGTTGTAGCTATACAATATCTTTATCCAAGACAGGTGTGGTCCTGATGTAGGAATATGTTGGACCTGATAGGATATTGATTCCTGCAAACTGACAGAAATATTCACTAAATTTAAGCATCTCAGACCATCAGGTTTCTTCCCCTATTTTTACATGTTTGTCTTTAGAATAGTAAAATACACTTTAGAACATATTTACAAAGTTCATCTCAAGATGATTTTTTTTATTTGATAAAATATTTGAGATTTTTTTATTTGGCTGTATTTAATTTTAATTTTTTTTTTAAGTGGTAAAATTAGTGATCCACCAACCCATTTTCCCAAACAAGATTGTCATTGGGGTTGATAGTTACAGATCTAAGAAACTTATACACTTCTGCCTGTTACTGCCTGCTGCCAGGAAGATCCTGATGATTCTGATTTTCCTGCTCTAAAGAGAACTGAGTTAGTGCTGCTGACATCACAGTTGACACTGGATATTTTCAGTCTGGGAAGTGCAGCTGGTTCCTGGGTTCATGCTGTTTGAGGCTCTGATGTATGAGTGGTAGTTGCCTGCATCTCTAGGAGCTGGTATTCCTGCCCATCTCTGTACAGGAAAGATGACATTTCCCATGACAAGGGCGCCTTGTTGCTGGAGGGTGATGGCTCACTCTGTTAGAGCCTGGATGTCAGACCTCTATCAAAAGCTGCCTTAGATGAAGGGTGCGTGTGAGAGCTTATTCCAACAATGCTAGGTCCTCCAAAACTGAGGCCAGGCTTGATCATGACAGTGCTGGTGGAGAGCCTGGGACTGGTGGATGATGCACTCTTTGTCTCTGCTTGTGTGAGATGAAGGCAGTTTCTAACAAGGAGGAGATGAGGAGGTTTTGTCCATGTTTTCCCTCTCTGCCAATGGCAGTATGCCTGCCTCCCCAGAGCTCCCATCCACCCTGCAGGCACATTCCCTTTGCTCAGCAGCTCTGTTCTGCCTCTGGCCCCTTGTCCTTGTGGACCTTGCCATCAAATCTGCCTGCCTGGGAAATCTTGGCTGGCTTTGCCCAATAATTGAGATGAAAGATTGCTGTCCCCCTGGGCTAATTGCACATGTAATCTATTCTTTCCTCTTTTCTAGGGCTTCTGTTTGCACAGAATAAACCCCAAGCACAATAAAACCACAAAAAACACCCAAGCGAAGAAACAGATTTTGCCATTTAAATGAAAAGAGATAAATGGCAGAAGGAAGGAGAGGCCAGAGCAATTTTTTATACTCATTCATTCTAGATGCAGTTACTGGAACTATGAGGAACATATGCTTTTCTCTATGAGCAGCAGACCTTCCCATCACTGGGAAACTAAACGCAACACTGAGAACTGCTTAGTAGAGTTTCATCCCAAAAGGATCCTGTCATTGTCATTGTGTGGAACTGACTGCTTTCTGTGTAAAGCTTACTAGGAAAAAAACCCAATCCTGTATTTTGTGACCCCCTATGGTTCGCCGCCTTTTGCTGTGTGCCAGGAAACTCTGTCTGGTTCTTGCACTCAGACCCTGACTGGCATCCTATGCAAATTGTATCAGATAAATATTACTGGGAATCTAGTAGCTCAACAAATTTTCTGTATGCATACTTATATATTAGTTAACTTGATTTAATCTGGAGTGATACTGTACTGATCAACTGTGCAAATAAATGGTTGTTAAGGTTAAATGCCTGTTTCCTGCTTAGGAAGAAGAGTACACTGTTTTGTTTGGTCTAGTTGTGACAAAACTAGTTTTCCATATGATATGTGGTGAACTTGACAAGTGACTGTACTTAGTAATTAATTTCTGAAACACTAAATAAGTAATAGAAGTTATGAAGGCTCTATTTAGAGCTTTGGCTACATTTGAGTATCTGAACATGGTAGTTTTCCTGGGTTAAAACCATGTAAATATTGATCAATTCTTAGTGACTCATGAAACAAAATACTACGAATGACTAGTTAATAAATGAGTGCTATTTGTGGTTATCAACATACACATCAAATATGTTCACTTTGTGCCAATATTTAAAGTGTTGTGGCTTGTCTGTTAGCATCCAAATGCAAAGTTAAGAGCAGAAAAGTGTCAAAACTCTTCATAAATCATATGTGAGCCTGTGCTAGGTGTAGTGTGATAATCCCATTTAGAGGAGTGCTCTCATCTTAGGTACTGGACAGCCTTGGTTTAATGTTGGAGTACACTACAGTTTGTAGTGGCATAAGAAAGTTAAGGATAACATATAAATGTAAAAATGCATATTTGAAATGAATTAAAGAGACAGGGGGCCTTAAAAAGATTAAAGACAGGCACCCCACTTACATGAGGTCCCTTTCACACTGCTTAGAAGTACAGGGAGTCTTTAATGTGAGGTGTTCAGCTCTCACTCTGGAATGTCCCAGTGTTGCTACTGTGTTGCATTTTGGGCTGAAGTGTGGATGGGAATTGAGCTCAGAGCTGGTATGATAATCACATGAGCGAGGAGCCGGTGTAAAGTCCAGCAGTCAACACCAGATGTAATAAACTGAAAAATTAGGTGGATGGTGCTTCTGGTAAGTGGCAGCTTGGACACTCCACAAATGTTTTAGAGAAACATGAAGAGGAACATAACACTGTTTCCATTTGTGGGCTAATGGGGAGAAAGAGGGCATTGATCTGCTAAATTTCCACTCTGGTAAGCTTGTATATATGCTAGATAGAGAATGGATGATTTCTGACTCTTAAGGCTGTAGAGATCTCATTTTCTTGATGTGGTATTTACCTGAGTGGCATTTTTCAATTAATTATATGGAAGGTAAAAAGTGATTCTTAGTTGTCTGGCCCATATTAAAATCAATATGGAGATAATTGGTTTATGAATAACTTTAGAGTGGGTCTTTATATTTCATTTTTCAAGACCAAACTCCAGGTGCTACCTTTTATTTGGAATAAGAATGTGATTTTATGGAAAGTTATATTGAAAATTGTTTTATTGGGGGGTGGGGGGAAGAAATTACCGAACAGTCTTTTTTATTTTGCTAAATAAAATATTGTTGCTAGCATGTAATGGTGTTGGGGAAGAATCTCGCTGAATAATAGAATATACTTTTTGTAAGCATTTTTTAACTTTTTAATTTCAAAAACTGTTATTAGAGCATGAAAGAATTAGTATGAATCTTCAGAATTGCATTTACTAGTCCTTAAATGTACAAACAAACTTCTGTGTAAAAATAAGATGGAGAAGAAATGTGTCTCATATTTTTTTTGTTTGTTTTTCCTTTTTGTAATAGGGCTTTATTTGTCCTCTCTGTATGAAGTCTCATGGATCAGCAGAGGAGCTGTTCAAGCACTATGAAGCAGTTCACAATTCTGGCATTGATTCAACTCGTGGAGGGGAAGGTCATCTGTCACTGGAAAGGTGAAACAGTACCCATTTATGCATGTGCTTTTGTGCCAGTGTTGAGCTGCTTCTAGTTACACTCAAGGTTTTATTAATTTGAACTTATGCAGTCAAGTATTTATGTATGTCCCATTTCCAACTAGAATTAAAAGGCAGCTTGTAACTTATGTTGTCTGATACTGATCTGACAGTAGGTGAAAATCAGATACATGTGTTTATGGTACTAAGCCACCTGTTTCAGATTCAGCAGACAGTGCAGCATTACAGACCAGAATGATTTTACAAGTGTAGCAGAAAAAATACAGGTTTCTCCTAATTTCTGACATAGAGCTGAAATATCATTGTTTGAGAGTGGAGCGGACAACCCTAAAGATAGAGAGGAAACCCAATTTTGTCCCAAGTTAATTAGGATATTTGCTGCATAATTACAATATCAGTATATGCTTAAATAGCTTTCCTTACTCTATATTATAACCTAGTTATTTGCAAATCTGTGTGTGCCAGTAATTCTCCTTCTGTGTTTCAGAAACTCCATGTTGATCTTCAGAAATCTTAACTAGTTTATTTAATATTTTTCCTTTTGTCAAACCTGTATTGTTAAATACATCCCTAGGGAGAATATCAGATTGTTTTATTTTTGAGAGGAGGGATATGTAGCAGGAACTGATAATGTGAAACTTTCTCTAGAAATGTTTAACTGAGTAGTCTGAGCTGATTTGGGAAGGTTTTTCTTGGGGGTAAAATTTACATAAGTTTCCCCTTGCTTCCTGCTAGTTCTTTTTCTGTTCAGTGCTTGTTTTTCACTATTATAAATAGCAGTCCATGGTACTGTTTTGTCACAGGCCCCCAGACTCCCCTGGTTTGTACACAGGAGAGTCAGAGTGAGCAGCACAGAGACACACAGCACATGACCTTGTGGCTTCTGCTGATCCTGGGAAGTAAACAGTTCAAATGTTTTGTCACAAGCAGAAATGTGAACCAAAATGAGAAATAATTACATTGAAAGAAATACATATATTTATGTAGCTAACTCAAGAGAGAGTAGATCTTTGGTGAGAAAAGAGTGTGGAATGTAGCCTGTTTCAGTTGATACCCAAATACAGATATGCATCTCCCCAGTACTGAGCAAAGCTGGCAGGTCAGTAGGAACCAGTATTAGCAGAGATCTTGTATGACTCCTTCATTGTGGATAGCTGCCTTCTTTCTCTCCTGCTGCCTCAAAAGAAATCAAAATTGGGCTTTATACAGGATAAAGTGATAGGGTACTAGTGAAGTCATATCGGGCTTATATGTGCACATTTATTCAGTAATGAATATTTCTTCTTTTTATGCCTGATTTAAGTCTTTTTGAAATAATTTAACTAAGACTTGAAGTGATAATTTTGTTAGATAATAGCATTCATATGAGGGAATTATTGGTCATAACTGTATTGTTTATATAGTTTATTAAATACTTATTTGTATGCCTACAAATTTCCAAAGTCAGACAGATGTTGGCTGGTGAAATTTAGTTATTTTTTTCCCTGGCTTTTGACAGTTTGAGGACAAGTAGTTTTGTTTTCTCTCACATAATTGAAAAAGTGGACAAGGTCAGGGAGTTTTGATGGAATAAAGGGAGTTTGCTGAGAGCCATTGTGTAACACATGAGCTGTATTTTCCTGTTAGTGTGGCATTCTTTAATGCCGCACATTTGCGTGCTTGCTTGAGAAAACTCTCATTCAACATAAATATGTTTTTCCAAGCCTTGGAATTTCATATTAAAAAAATACTGCAGCCTGCAGCATGGAGCTACTCCACTTGCTCTCCTTGTGTGAAGCTTATGTGCTTAGGACCAAGATTGGGAGGTGAAATTCCATATGTAGTCAATAAGAAAAGTTAAGTACTGGGAATTATACAGTTTCTTCTTCCTCCCACTCCCCAGTAAACTATGAGTAAATCATGTAATTACCCCCAGTGTGATTCAGCAAGGCCATCAGTAGTCAGTGCTAGGGTGGAGGCACTGGCATTGCAAGTGGGAAACCTAGTGGACTGTAATGAAGAGACACTAAGGGTTTTCCAGATGGTAGGCTCAGATGTGCTGAGAGGAGAAAGGGATTGTCACAGCACTAGCAGAAAAGGAGGTTTAGTGAGGATTAGGATGATGGGAAGAAAAGCAAAGTTACAGTGCCTGTAGTGATCCCTTACACCAATTCCCCCCATGCATTTTCCTCTGGTTAAACTAAATTCAGGTTTCATTTTACAATGGTCTAGCAAAATTTTGTTGAGCTATCAAGGCAACCACTGTAGAAGGCTCTTACATTACAAACTCATTCCTTTCTCCTCCCCTCCGCTTTATCATCTACTAAAAACTAGCTCAAACCATTCAATCCATTGTGAAGACCAGAGCATCTTAAATGCTTTGGTATTGCAGGTCTGGTATATGTTCTGCCCAACTTCAATACAGTTAACTGTTCCACCTGCTTTTTAATTTATAATCTTAGATCTGAATCTTTTCTCTCTTACTTTTACTGATGAGAAAGTGGTTCGCTCTTCACCCACAACCAATGTGCAAGTTTTGGGATGCAGCTACACCTGACTCAGTAAAGTTGTATTTGCAAACCTCCAGTAAATGTATCACACTGGCAGAAAAATGTGTACATAACAAAATTTTCCTCTGAAAAAAGTAAATCTCCCAATATCCCAAGTTTGTTTTGTCATTAAAATTGGTCCATCTTGGAGCTCTTGCTCCACTGCTTCAAACAGATGTTTCACTTGCTACTTGATGACCCTGACCTGATGTTAATATGCTAATGTAGATTGAATTTATTCCTCACCAGTTTAGATAAGGAATAACTTTCTTTGGTGGTTTATTTTCTCCTAAGTATGAGATAATTTGATAGAACATCTGTGGAGGAGGGGATAATGCATACCAGCAGCAATAAAACTGTATGATATAAAACAGAGTGATTTGTTGGCACCTCACATATATGTTCTTTGTAACCCTTAGTGTTGCCACTGTACAAACAAAAAGAGTATTTTTGAATAATTTTAATTACCCTTGTATTCTTGGTTTGGAGTGGCTGCATCTCATTAATGCAACATTATCCTTGTGTGTATAGTTGTGCAAATCTGTAAGAAGACCTGTGATTTTGAAGAGAGCTGTGTGAATCAATTACTAGCATTTATAGCCTTGGATCTTGTGTTCTTGTGTGGCTGGAGAATTGAGCATGAAATTTGAGAATTTAAAATTTTAAGGCTTTAAATATTCAGACCATTAAGTGAATGTGTCTGTGGGGCAAACCAAATCATTGTGTGGATGAAAAATTAAGTAACTGCATATTTCAGGAGAAAGATAGCATGCTGTCACTTAGCATTGTTTCTTTACATTATATGGGAAATGGAGAAGAAACATGTCCTTTTTGTACAAAGGCATGCAAAGCAGTTAAATGTTCCAATGCATAGCTTTGTCATTCTCATGTGGTAGAGCTGACGCATTGGTTTAGATTTGTATTCTAAATTCGAGATTTTCATGAGAATTTTTTTCATATCTACTTCTTTACTTATCCATTTAATACGTTTAGCATTTTTCAAGTGATGTGCAAAGTGATATTAATCTGGTTTGTTCCAAGTTTAAAAGAAATCTAAAATTAAAGATTTATAATTATGTAAGTTATATTTATGTACTACATGGCTATCAGTCCAATTACTTAACACACGTTACAACTTGTATGTAACTGACAAAATATAACCCCTGTGTATTCATTTTCTCCACTCTGTGGATATATTTATTCAGAGATGAAGTATCACTGCTCCGACAAGAAGTCCAAGACTTGCAAGCTTCGCTGAAGGTTGGAAATGTATTTTACTTTCACTTGGTTCTTTGTTTTGAATTGAAGTGTTCCACCGTCTAAAGCAACCAAATTTATAGTATCTCTCCCCATCTTTTTTTTTTTTTTTTTATCATTTTACCCCTCAGGAGGAGAGATGGTATTCAGAAGAGCTGAAGAAAGAACTAGAGAAATTGCAGGGGCAGCGGCAGCAAGTAATTGCTTTAAAATACTTGAAGCAGGTTTATCGTCAGCATTGACATTGAAGATTAAAACCTTTTTTGTAAGGCACGTGGCCTGATTTAGTTAGTTCTGTAATTTAAATATTGATTGTGTTCTTGAAAACAAAGCTAGTTATCTCTACATAATGTAACTATATATATAAATGTAAAGAGCGAAGTCAGAATAGATACAGATTCTTCCATACTACTCACTACAAGTTCAGTTCAGACTTTTCCTTCTGTTGAGCTTATTCAGAATTCAGTTTATTAAACAAAATAAATTGAGTGTGGTGTTTCATCTTTTATGAGACAAGGCTGTGGAGTCTTTCTTTTAAGAACTTTTGAAAAACAGCGGTGGTATTTCATAGATATCCAGCTGACCTTAAAAAATAATGCAAGGCAAATTGTGATGTGTTGTGCCCTAAAGGAAACTCTGGCTTTTTTTTATTACTATGAGCTGCTTAGATGTGGGATAGTTACAAACCTCAGAAATTGCTTTCTGATAGAACTCCCTCTCAGGATGTACTTCTTGATGTCTGTAACCTCTGTTTTTAGGACAGATTTCTATCTTGAGGAAAGGGAGGGGGAGGGTATTCTTGCTGGAACCTTACGAGTGAAAACCTTTATAGTGTAGCAATATATGAAATGAAAAGTCATCTTGGCCTTTTCCAGTCTTCCAAATATAACAGTTTGAATTCAGGTATTTTTATACTGCTGTGCAATATTTGAGCTCAGAAGTCTTTATTTCCCTGTCTTTTCCAAAAAATGGATGAACTTTGGAAGTAGTAGTTTTTATTCCTATTGTCTAATGGTGCATTTATTCTGTTTTCTTAAGGATTCTAAATCTGATGGATTGACAACAGCTACGTCTACAGGTGGCTAACATTTTATTATGTTAATTTCTACACTGCTTTGGAATTCATTTTGGTTTAGCTTTTAGGTAAATTAGCGCTTCTGGTAAATTAAAGAGCTAGAAAGCTGGAATATTACAATTACTGGCAAAAAAAAAGTTTATAGTAATATCTACTAAGAGCTATTCATGTTAAGCAGTAGTCTGTGGTAAATATTCCAGGGCTCAGGGTTTGAAATTTTTAGAAGCAAAACAGGAGTTCTTCTGAATCTGAAAGCAGTTCTCATGAGACATTTTGAACACTTTTTTAATAATTTCATATATTCAAGCAGTCAGATATATACTATTCCACTATACTATATAAAGTATAGCACTTTTCAGTGATGGCTTTATGTAGTGTTTTTCTGTGCTCATTGCTAGCAAAGAAAACTGATTTTTTTTTTGTTTTGTTTTGAATACCTGTAATTTTTGCTCTGTTTATCTCCATGAGGCATTCACAGAATAAAATTTTCCCTATTTGTGCATAAGCTATCTAACTGATACTGATTAAAGTTTTTAATTGCAGTTCAGGGCTTGGAATTCAACATCATGTTGCAGTGATCTGAAGGGCCATTTGTGACTAATGAAAACCAATATGTACTTAATCCTACAGAGTGGTCAACTAGGGACAGTGATATCATGTTTGCAGATATTTAACTTCAGTAAAGTTTGCTTAGATGATTGGATGTTAAGGGATTTTGGATTACATATTCACCTCATGTGGTTAGTTAGGGGCATGAGGAACTGTATTGTCCTAATTCTTCTAGAAAATAATACTGTTCTTTTTATGGAAATAGAATCATTAGAACGGCAACTAGAAGAGATCCAAGTAGAAAATTTTAACATTAAGCAAATGAAAGACTTATTTGAGCAAAAAGCAGCACAACTGGCCACTGAAATTGTGGGTAAGTGTATTAGCATGAAATCTGATTCTCTTCTTTACTTGTGCAATTTGTGAAAGGGATCATGTATTCATCTTCTTTCTTATTAGATCTTAAATCAAAGTATGATGAAGAAATCAGCCTTCGGGAAGGTGCAGAACAGAAAGTGACAAACCTGAGACAAGAACTGCAGAAAGAGAGAAGTACAGTAGAAGACTTAAAGACAGAGCTGGTATTCACATCACATTAATGTTTTTGTTGTCTTCAAGTCAAGGAAAGGGTTTATTTAAATGCTTGCAAACACAGTTTTAAAGCAGTCAAACTGTTGAACTTGAAGATGTCTGCTTGTGGGCTGACAAAGTTCAGAGTACCATTGTTTTTGATCTGCATTTTCAGTGTTTTTCCAGTGAGAAATTATATGTTATTTCTGACATATATTGAAATTCACCCTGCATTACATTTTAGTCTTCTTACTTAATGCTCTACCCTTCAGCATTTCTGCAATGTATTACATGTATAGATGTGCTGCACAGACCTAAACCTGGAGCATGCCATTGCTGACTTGCACAGCTATCTATAGGTCACTCTTTTTCCATGAGGTGTTATGCTCTGACTGTCCTTGGGCAGCTGGATTTTTAAGAAGTGCTCAGAGAGGTGTTTTGTGACACGGTGGCTGAAAAACTGGCAACTGTCATCATCATGTCTATGTTAATCTTGTCCCTCTTGTGCTTGGCTGATAACACGAATGTGTGTGTATTCCAGGATTTTGGCTGCTGATGACTTTTATATTCAGCCATGCCTCCAGGGAGCATTACCAGTGACTCAGCAAGTTGGGCCACTTCTAAAGCAGTAGTGCAAGGAATTTACCAGTTTCTCCTACTCAGCTACTCCTTAGACTCTGGAGGAAGGCCGGATTTGTGTATACCCCTTCTTCTCTGTAGCTGACTGCCCTCAAGGGCCAATTGGCCTTGTCCAGATGCTGGACCTATCCACTGCTTCCTGTTCAGTTGTTTCTTGCATTCCATTTTTCTTATCTTTTTTCTGTTCCTTTTCTCTTCTAAAGATGCCAACACTCCTTTTCTCTGTTTTCTTTAGTACTCCTAGTTGCCATCCCTCTCCTTTCCCTCCATACTGTTTCATGCTGAGGGGTGTTACGGTTCTTGAGATGCAATTACCAACAGATTTTACCTGTGGGTTTGGTATGAACCATATCTGATAGTATCTTCAAGACAGTGCCTTCAGCTGCCCTTTTGTTTTGTCTGTGGTGCTTTTCTGAAATAATTCTTGAAGACAGGGACAGTATTCTGTATCTAGCCATCTACCTACATAAATGTTACAAAAATTAAATCTTTGAAACAATTTTCCATTTGTCAGACTTGGTTTAAATCAACAAGCTCAAGATTTAGCAGATAGAAACTGAAAACTAGCCCTTAAATTCTGTTTTATTTGGGATTTATAAGCACTTCTCTGTGGTTCTGGGGATTTTTTGGGGAGGTTTTTTATCTTTTTTTTTTCTTTTTTTTTTCTTTTTTTTTTCTTTTTTTTTTCTTTTTTTTTTGTTTTTTAAGCCTAGCTCTAATGCTGTATGTTACCTTGTCTATAAATTGATGATTTGATAGATTTTTAGAAATGACATTGACGCTGGAAGCATGTCTGCCAATGTGGTGTTGCTCACTAATCACAACTTTTCAGCTACAAAGGCCTGGTGTGGAAGATGTGGCTGTCCTGAAAAAGGAGCTGGTCCAAGTTCAAACACTGATGGATAAAATGACCCTGGAACGTGAAAGAGAATCTGAAAAGCTGAAAGATGAGTGCAAGCACTTGCAGGCAGAGCAGGCTAACTCTGAGGTAATAGTCATGCATAACGATGTGTATCCTAGCTTGGCTGGGATTATCATATGAAAATGGAAAATAATAATTAATCATAATGAAGAAACATCTTTCTTCATTGAATCTTCTCACTTCTCAAAAAGTTTTGGTTATTCTGGTCTTCTGTCGGTTAAGACTTCCACTTCCATACAAGCAGAGAAAAAGGTGTGCAGCATCTCAGATTTGGATCTTTAGGAAGAACTTTACTCCTCAAACTGTTTCAAACAGCTTCTGGCTAAAACACGGTTTTGCTAAGTGTTACTCATAAGAAAATAAGAACTGGAAGTCCTTCATTGACACATCGGCTGCAGTGCTTGACATAAATTTTTGGCAATGTTTCATCTCAGCTTTACTCTTCAAGACCACATCATGGACTGAAATTTTAAGGTGGTTTTTACTCTGTCCTTGGCTGTTTTTACAGGCTGGCTGGGGATACATGTATAAATATTGGGTTTCAAAGTGAGTATCTTTAAAAAAAGTAAATGCTCAGTATGGGTAGAAAGAACAAAATCTTACTAGCCCTATAAGAGCATCCTCAAATACTGCAGGAGAGGGATGTGAAGGATAGTGTAGTCTACAATTGTCACCTAAATCTCTTGGGTGTTTATATCTTTTTTCAGAGCTGTGCCTGAAACTGGCATCTACATCTTTCAGATGAATATTCATACTGAGCGGCTCCTTTCATCTTGAGTTTTTCACTATAGTGGCTCCTGCATAGAAAATGTGCTATGAAAACAGCTGCACTGCTTTGGAGCTAAGCATTGCTATAAATCTCTGCTTATTGGGATTTGTTTCAGTATCTTATAAATCTTCATTAAATGCAGCACCTAGACTTAATCGTTAACTTGAGTATCCAGAGAAATAAACAAAATTAGTAGCCTCAATTGAGGGTAAATTTAATAAAACCAGGACTTGAGTTTTTTTGTTAGTTTTCTTTTTTTTCCCTCACACTAAGCAAAGGCATTAGAAACACTGGAATATTTATAAAACAAATCAGAGGAAGTGTGCCTACTACAGCTTTTGTGACAGCTTATTTCCATCTTTCATCCATCCATTTTATTTTTCTGCTTTCTAATAGAGACATTTAAATTTGGGTTAAATTTTTTGGAAAGCATTTAATTTTTATAGCAAATTTCTGTCATATCTAGACAATTTCAAGATGTTATTAAATAAAAGCATTCCTTTTTTTTTTAATGGTGCATTATTCATACAGATGCAACAAGAAAATATTAGGACTGAATATTTACCTAGGATGTATTTCCCTGTTAAAAAAGAAATGCAGGATGGTCTTACTGAATTGAGAACAAGAAATGGATCATTATGTATTTGAATTATGATTCTAGTTGGAAAGGCTGCAGTGGTGTCCTTAGTTAGTTTTTGCACATTTTCTGCATTATATTCTCTCAGTATGAAATATCCATATTTTTTATCCATTGTTTTCTGATAACATCCTGGACTGTTTGGCCAAAGGCTGATCCTAAGATGTGTTTTAACTAACAGCTCTGTTATGAAACAGCATTGTAAAGCACAGTGTTGCAGAAAGTCAGTTAACTATATGCAGTCATATACTGTGTTCTTATGTTCTCTTTGGTGTTTCTTTCTCTGTAGGAAGGTTGTAAATTGGATGTTCATTGTCTATTACTTCTGTTCTGCTTTTTTTTTTAATTCAGTATTTATGCATTTGTGCTGAAATCTCTGCTTATGAGAAGAATATGAAAGAAAACTTCTTTATAAAGGTCACTGCTATATAGTGTATTTGAAATGAGTGCATTAATACATGACATGTTTTAGGGCAGCTGTGCCCTAAAGTGCTTTTCTTGTTTTCTTCCATTACTGTGTTCAAATACTGTGCAGTCATTGATATATTCTGTCCTGTACTGATCCTGTTTAATGGGGTAGTATTGTTCCTCTGATTATGCTGACCTGCAGGGTTGATGTGTCCAAAAGTCACACACCAAGTGTGCATCAAATGCCAGACTTGGCTTCTAGAGTCTTTTCCAGCACATTTCCCTTCCTAGAGTGTTCAAGATTTTGGCCATCTAACTGTAATGACTTAGAGAGATTTCACCTTTGGCTAGAACTGTGATAATTATTAATAGATAATATGTTTTGATTTTCATCAGTTTTGGGTTCAATCTGACATTTGCTATTAGATTGGATCAGATTTTCACCTTCCAAAATAGAACATAAATGAATCTCAGCTGGGAAATTGTGCTCAGTGATACTTCTGATGGTGCTCTGAGCTTAGTTTACAGGTGATTTTTTTTCCTTAGGATTTTTATTTGTATAGAAAATTTATATTTATTTTGCTACCAGACACCTTGCTTTTGTTGGATTATGCTTGCAAAGCTTTGTTTTAAATGTGGAGTTTTGTGTTTGTCTTTTCAGGCTACCATTAACCAATTAAGAGCTGAACTTGCCAAAGGACCTCAGGAAGTAGCTGTGTATGTTCAGGAGCTGCAAAAACTTCAAAGTTCAGTCAAAGAGCTAGAACAGAAGAATCAGGTGAGAATGCTATTATTTCCTATGCTTGTCAGCTCACATTAAAGTGGAAACACATTACATACTGCCTTTGGAAGCACTGAAGACTAAATTCTGGCAGAAGTTGAGACTTCCTTTGTCATTTTGTTTAACAATTGGACTGTTACAATGCACAAGCAAAACACCATATTTTAATAATCATCATATTCTACAAGTTGAAGTTGTTTAGGTTGTTTTGATTGCAGATTTTTAGTTGCTGCAGTATATCTATCATTAAGCAGAATTGCCATCTCACGCTCTAAAAGTAGTACCCCTGGAAGTAATACATTTTTCTAAAAATCATAATTTGAAAGATATTCTGAGCTCTCTTCCTTGGTTTTCCAGTTTCTTAACTTTTAGATTGTACTTCTGTCATATTTTTCAGGCCATTTACTGGCATCACAAATGGTAGAAAATGGAAATTAATTCCAGAAACTTCTCAATGTATATTCTTTGAGAGCTGTTATCAGAGTTCTTTGAGCTTGCTGCATTTTGTATTTGTGTTTAGAAATCATGTGTTGTGGGGGCAAAAATGGAAATAAAATACATGCATTTACAAAGAGCCTTGTTAGCTTTGGAGAATAGGAAAAGGCAGGGACCAAACAGAGTCTATTTAATGTAACCTAATATTAAAGCATTTGCAAAAAATGTAAGAAGGTGCAATTAAAATTTGGTAAATGAAACTGCCTTTAGCAGGATGACTCGTTGCCTCACTAAATTGGGTGTGGAACTGAGAAGGTAAGAATTATCAAGCTATAATTTTCCACAGACCAGCAACAATGAATCAAGCTTTTGGCAGAAGTGTTGCTGTATAGTATAGAGCCCTTTCCTGAATCTGTTGATATTTCATTAACAATGTGTAGTGAAACAGATTGATGCATAAGTTAGCCACACATTAAGAGAGAGTCCTCTGCTATGTCAGGATAATGCCAATCACCACATGAGGAACAGGTAGAAGAGAAGTGGCAGTGAACTACTTTTCCTTTTTCAGTTTTAGTGACTTAAAGCACTTTACAGCCATCTCCTGATGCAGCTTTTTGTAAAGTTTATAAGAATATTCCATAAGAATATATTCCATAAGAATGACATGCTAGCTAAGGAATTTTGGCCCTTGAGGAGTTTGACCTAGAACTGGAAAAGGTAAGACTAGCTTCCGGTGAGAGAAATTGCTTCCACTTTAAACAGTTTGTCATCCTTGCATCCTTGAAAAATCTGTCAGGGAGGAGCCATTATTTCATGATGAAACACATTGTATGTAGAATATAATACATTTGATATGAACATTGATTTATAGTTCAGTTGCAACGTGGGAAGATATTTCTGTGCATTGATGCGAAATTTTTCAAGCTCATGTACATCCTCAAGCAAGAAAGCTGTTTCTTACATTTTCAGGAGTTATAATGAGAAGAACAAAGGTATATGTAAGTATATGTATAAGCATAAAGGATCAGTTCTCTGAGACCAGCAGGAACTCTCTTTTTATTATTTTTAAAGAACAGTAATTATGGGGCTTGGCTTGCCTTGCAGAAGCCAGTAAGGGCTTGTAGCTCAGAATATAGCTAGCATGGAAAACTTTTCAACTTTTCTCCAAGCAATCACAGTTGTAATAAAGTTAATTTGAACATTCAGGGGAAACAAATTATTTTCAGGATATGGAAATAATCCTGAAATAGTTTGTGTCGTGTTCTCAGTACGAGGAAGTGAATTTATGTGAGAGTATGAAAAACAGTATTTCCACTTGAAACTGTGTGCTGTATGGGCTCCAGAACTGACATGTGTAATACAAGATACAGGTTAATATTTTCTTTAATGATGTTTCTGAACACATTCTTCACTGTTCAGCATCAACAGTTAGAAAGAAATTTGAATGATATGTTGAACAGCTGCAAGCAGAATTGTACTTGAATTCCTATGTAACTCTCTTCACAGAGTCTGACTGAGAAGCTGCTGAAGAAAGAACAGGACTACACCCAGCTGGAAGAAAAACACAATGAGGTATCTGTGAGTAAGAAGAATGTGCAGGCAAGTTTTCACCAGAAGGACCTGGACTGCCAACAGCTTCAGGCAAAGCTGTCTGTGTCTGAAGCCTCAATACAGAGATTACAGACAGAGCTAGGTGAGAAGGCAGAAGCAAGCCAGAAACTTAAAGAAGAGTTATCCGAAGTAGAGACCAAGTACCAGCATCTCAAGGCGGAATGTAAACAGCTCCAGCAGCAGAAGGAGGAAAAAGAGCAGCATGGCCTGCAACTCCAAAGTGAGCTCAGTCAGGTAAATTTCCTTAATGCTCCTAGACCATCCTCTTTGAATGGTTCTTTAAAACCATCTCATAAATTTTAAAACACTGCATATGCATATTTCTTATGAACATGCATTTACATTTCCTTATTTGAAGGAGGGTAATTAACCAGTACTTGTGTTTTACTACACAATAGGAAGTTTGAGAAAAGTGAGTCTTGGTTTTACATTAGAGCTAAACAGTGCTTGATTGGCTTTAAGTCTGAGTAGTGAATATAGTAGGGAATACCTAGTGTGAAAAGACAGGTCAGCATGAAATCTTGATATTGCTTCCTTAGTGTTTCTCCCCAAACAACTTCACTTTATGTTGCTGATAGCTGAGGAAGCACCCAGAGCATACATCCCCCTCCACCAGAACCTATTATTCTGCTGAGTCAAATGATTTAGAGGACTTTCTTACAACATTGAACATTTTGAAACTTGACGCTGGTTGAATTTAGTTTGTTTTTGGTTTTTTTTTTTTTGAGAGTAATATGTTAGACTGGAGAAATATTTGGGTGTCAGTAATCATGTCCAGTCTTAAGATGTAAAAAATTATATCTTTATTCGTTAGTATGACATGCTTAATTTTAATCTTGCTAAAGCTTATTTATTTTATAGTGAGTGTTTCTGAGTTTTCAACCCTTTGTAAAATCTGAAACAGATCAAATTGCAAGCGCTTGTGTGTATAGTTTACCTTGGAAGAACTGTGACTTGGCTTAAACCACATTTATGTGTGTATTACATGCCCAGAATGTCCGTCTCCCATTAGTCTTTTGTTAGGGTGAGAAGAGATAATTATGTTAGTTATCTGTGTAGGAGTCTGCATTTTGTCAAACTGCCTCAGTCTGCCTGGGCAACAGAAGTATAGCCAAGAGGTTGAGCTGAAATCTGTCTTCAGGCTGAGAGGGGATTTTCAAGAAGGATTTTTGGGGTGGGAAAATGAAAGAGGAGGATGGTAAGTAAAGCATTGCTGAATGTATTCCTATTACTTCAGTGGAATTACCTTTTTATGCATGTAGTCCATTAGCTTACATTTAAAATATGAATTCTGTTTATGTATTATAAGGTATATGTACAGTTGTTCAATCAAATCCCAATTTTTAAGAATCCTTGTCATCTTCTCAAAATTCATTTGAATGGATGCATGTCTGGTTAAGGTTGTACATTTTAGAATTTTGGCAATGTGGAAGAAGTGATCTTAATGGAAGAAACCTCAGTAATAGTGTTGGTTCCAGCACAACAGTAGGAGGAGGGTGTGGACAAGAGAGTATGGACTCCTTCAGTTTTGAAGAAATGTTAATTGCTAATAAATTCTATTGAGAAAAATTGAATCTACTTGATTGTATCTTTTAAAGTCTAGATATTTTTTCATTATTTTTTTTTGCAGTCTGTAATATAGGTTGATCCTGGATTTTATGGTCCTGTTTACTTAAATGTCATCTTAAAGTTCTTCAAAAATACTTAAACATGCCTGTAATAAAAGTAACTAGTGTAAAATATTGTTTACTAATTTCCCTCTTTCCAAATATTTTCTCCTGGTATCAGCATAGCCATGAATAGTTAATGGTTATCTTGTTGCACCCTTTCTTCAATAGATTTTTTTCTACAGTTCTTTGTATTTTTGGTGAGGAGGAAATATTTATAATTTGGTGATCCTTCAAGAAAAGACAAATGTTCTTTGTTACTGGAGGAGAGATTATGGTCTCTTTCCTCACCCTGTCCTCCCTCTTCTCCTACCTCTGTCCTAACTCTGCAGTCACTGTTAGCAGTCAGCATCTTGGCCACATGTCAAACAGCTTTGCACTTACGATTTTTGTGGTTGTGGGCAGATAATTTAGCTTGACTTTTTAAGAAGGTAAGTCATGGCTACATTTATATCCCTGTCTCCAAACCCTTTAAACTTTTGCATTGTATGATAACTTGAGCTAAATTTTGACATGGCCCAAAGGACTTAAGTCCTAAAGTTAAATTCTTTGGGGAACAGACAGCAGGAGAGAGGCTTCACCTCCACTTAATGCCTGGGTGGAAAGTGTAATGGTACCACAGTCACTTTCCTTTTTCTGCTCTGCTAGGTAGCCAGTTGGTCAAACAGTGATTGGTTGCAGTGACCAATAAAATTGGGCTGCCTTTTGCATAGATATTAATAGGGATTTAAGGAAAGCAAGAGGGAAGGCTTAGGGGTATTGAAGGGAAGACCTGGAATTAAAAGGTAAATGGTTCAAAGGCCTTGGACATAGATGCATTGGGGAGGAAGCTTCATTCATAGCTTTCCCACAACCTATGCAAAGTTCTTGCTGTGCTGCAAGGTCTGCATTCTCTGGTTTTGAACTGAGTTGAAAGGTCATTGTGTCCTTGAACATGTTCGTGTAGAAGTAGGCAGGAGGCAACCCAGGACCTATTGTGGCAGTAGAGTAAGCTGATTTTATGAAAAGAGCTTTTTAGAACAGTGAATTGTAATCCTTACACTTTGAAGACGGTGCAGTACTGCTTTTGATGACTGATAAAATCATGAAGCAGATTTGTGTCCAGCTGGAAGAGCACATCCACCTGCTTTCTCTTTGCTGCTGGAAAGTACTGGACTGTAAGCCACCAAAGTTGCTGCGTACCCTACACTGACTGTTCATGTATCTCTTCTCTGCGGAGAATGAATGCCATTGATGTAGCCAGCTGAAGCTAAAAATTACACTCTTAGTATTCTAACAGTGCAGAACAGTATATTGTGGGAGGCAGTGGAGCAGGTAAAGGCAGGATGCTACTGGATCTACAGGAGTCAGTCATTGAACTGGATAAGCCAAGATGGCTCAAAGCCATCACTATTTTACATGATAGTCCTTATGCTTTTGAAGGATCACCCTCTTCCTGTTATATCTCTGTAACTTGTTTTGAAGGGCTCCTGTAGATAAATGAGAATGTTTCTGGGACCTTCCAACCAACTTTTTGGATATCTCTTTTTGCGTGTGCAGTTGATGCTGTCTTTTAACATGGTTTGTGTTTCTGAGATGTATGAGGTACATGCATGGCTTCAGAAGGTCATGGACTTGTTTTGCTCTGGGTTATGAAAACTTCACATAAACATTGAACAAAATGAGTCTAAATCACTGTTGGCTAAGGAATGACTGAAAAAGTGGATGACTCTTTTTTGCAGTTGCACAGTAAACTCCTAGAAACAGAGCGCCAGTTAGGGGAAGCGCATGGGCGGCTCAAGGAACAGAGGCAGCTGTCCAGTGAGAAGCTGATGGACAAAGAGCAGCAGGTGGCTGACCTACAATTAAAACTTTCTCGTGCTGAAGAGCAGGTAGGAGTTTTTATGCAGATTCTATAGTTTGTTCTGGTTCTGGTGTTGTCACACTTGTGGTGATACTGCAGTTTATAAAATTCATTCTCGTGGGAATTATTTTGACTAATACTGTCAAGGACTTCCAGTAAAATTATCCAAATCTGCTTAGATTCTGCTTGTCTTTACAGGTGTATGTGTGTTTGTGGTGCTTAACAAATGAACAAAAGTTGTGCATTTTGCAGTTATGAGCTTTGTCTAAAGGTCTTATGAAAAAATTACTTAGGTGCACATTTGACCACATGGGTAGTTTCTTTTTTTTTAAGATAAAACCCTACATGAAGAAAAAGTGAACATGGCACAGCAGGTCATTGATAGTTAATAATCAGTGTGGGGTGGATGGGCAGAAAACACTTGTTTTATTAATTTTTGATTTGTTTTAATGAATATCTTGTGTATGTTGCTGATTTTCTGCTGGCTGTAGGGGGATTGGCCAAATATCTGAGTGGTATGTTGTCAAAGCTTTAAACTTTTCTGTAGCTAATTTGCAAAGCCTTGATTAGTATAGAAATGGAGAGACTGCTAAACTGAGTTGCTACTAAAATAATGACTGACAGTTGCTACTGAAATTGCCAAAAAAAGTAATAATAAAGTTGTTTTACAGGTATCTGTATTATCAGTCATGTTACACCTTAACAACTATTGCAAAAAACATACTAAAAATCTCTTATGTTTTAGATTATGAGAGCTAAATTACATGCATCTGATAATTGTTTTATAGCTCTTGCTTGTGATAGAGAATCTCACTGATTAATTGTAATGAATGCTTTGATTAGATTTTGATCTAGCATTACAGGTTTTTGTTTTTACAAGTTTTTAAATATCCATGTTTACACTAAAAGCTTTTGTAGTTAGAGTGAACATTGAGTACAATTGGCATACTGAGTGGTGCTTTTTTCCCACTCAGTAGTCTGGTTTGTTTGGTATTTGGTTTTGGGGTTTTTTTTCAGCTAAAGGAAAAAGCAGCAAATTCCACAGAATTGCAACATCAATTGGAAAAGGCAAAGCAGCAGCACCAGGAGCAGCAGACACTTCAGCAAAATACGACAGCAAAACTACGAGAAGCCCAGGTAATGTAGTTGTGTATCTTCATGTGAAAGTGGGTTACAGGTTTTCATTGTGCTAAATACTTTTTATTTCTAAAAGTGACTTTCAGGAATTATGTTAGTTTCAATAAATTAACTTACAGATCTGGAATAGAATATACGGAAAGTGTTTGATAAATTTATCCAATATTTTATGCATTAGGCTCAACTTTTAAGGTCCTTATAATTAAACTATCATATTCTTGTCTAGAATGATCTGGAGCAAGTACTACGACAAATTGGAGATAAGGACCAAAAAATTCAAAATCTTGAGGCTTTGCTTCAAAAAAGTAAGGACAACATCTCTCTGCTAGAAAAGGAAAGGGAGGACTTATATGCAAAGATTCAAGCTGGTGAAGGAGAAACTGCAGTTCTTAACCAGCTACAAGAGAAAAACCATGCATTACAAATACAGGTAAGAACTTGGAGATCTGTTTCTTTTCATTCATTCTCGTTATTGAATCTTTTTTCCTTTTTTTTTTTTCCTATCTCATCAGGTGAGACACTAATCTTTTCTATACTGTTCCATTTCTTTAAAATTTACTTTAAAGATCTTACTATAAATTTCACACGACTTGTGTTTTGGTGACTTCCATGCTACCAGCATAGGGAAACGAATTCCTAGATACTTCATTTGTACATATGTTAGTAATATGTACTTACAAATCGTGATATTATATAGTTATATAACTATATAACTATATATATATGTATATATTTATATGTATATACTTGTAAAAAACTGTATATATAGTTATATATAAATAAATACAATATATATATTTGTTTCACTTATTTTAAAAAGAGGTTTGATTCCTGTTTTCAACATCAAACTTCAGTTTAGCCTGCATCTGTTATCTCCTTAGTATTTTGTTTCTGTTGCATTAAGGCCAAGTTGACAATTCCCTTTTGCTTCTATTTTCAGCTGGTAACCTATTTAAATCTGGTGTAGTGTACAATATAGCTTTATTGTAATAGTTCAGGAAAAGAAATGTGATAGCATTTGGTCTCCAGAGCCATAAAAAAACACTAAATTTTTTTACTTCCTTGGACATGCTGTTCCAGCCTTTTAATGTTTGTTTTTTTGTGTTTTTTTGTTTTGTTTTGTTTTGGTTTGGTTTTTTTTGTTGTTGTTTTTTCTTTCCACTGCAGGTAACTCAGCTGACAGAGAAGCTGAAGAATCAATCAGAAAGTCATAAACAAGCCCAAGAGAACTTGCATGAACAAGTGCAGGAACAAAAGGCACACCTAAGAGCTGCTCAAGATCGTGTGCTTTCCCTGGAAACAAATATCACTGAACTAACCAGTCAGTTAAATGAAAGTAAAGAAAAAGTGTCACAACTTGATGTACAGGTAATGGATCTCTGTGTTTTATGGTGGTGAAAAATTCTGGTTGTGATTTCCCCATTTGGGAAAAGGTGCATTTTTCTACAAGGAGATACATACACTTACACATGCATACTGCTGATTTTACTATTAAACTTACTGGTGGCTATCAAAAAATTAGAATGAGCTATGATAAAACAGATGTTTTAGTGAAATACAATTTGTCTTTCAGGTAAAAGCAAAGACTGAATTGCTACTTTCAGCAGAAGCGTCAAAAGCTGCTCAGAGGGCGGATCTACAGAACCATCTGGACACTGCCCAGAATGCACTTCAAGATAAACAACAGGTATTAAGTGACACATAAAGTTTCTGTGTTACCTAAAAACTGCTTAAAAAGACTAAGAATAGTCTTTTTACATGCTCAGTAAACATGTGAATAAGCACTGGGAAATGATTGTTTAGGATATTTTAACCATGTGGTATTAATTCGTTTCCTTTTGCTGCTCCAGAGCAGATATATTTCGCAGTGTAAAGAATCTACTTGGGAATCCATTCCTTGCTATAGGGTTATCAGTCAGAATCTAAGCTTTCCTTAGGTATTCTGTAGGTATTATTCAATTCCTGTACTTATGGTATGAAGAAAAGATTGTAGAATGCACTCAGTAGAAGCAAAAACTCAACTCCTATTGCTGACTCAGATAAATTTACTATCAGCTGCCAGTATTCACAAATAAGTCTCTGTGTGCCAGCTGACATAACAATTCAAAAAGCTGGTGATAAAAATTACATATTTTTTAATTTGTTTTAGTCCTAGTGAAGCATTTTACTGTCTGTTGAATCAAATATTTGCATAGTTAAAATCAGTGCTGCTGTGGTCTTTGTGGAAACATCCAGCAGATGTTAATGTGGCATTTTGTAGCATGGGAATGTCATTATTTGCTGTAAACAGGAGACAACTTTTTGCAGCCATTAAATAATTAATTGATAACTACATCAGCTTCTTGGAGAGCAGTGAACTTTAATGTAGCTGTCATCATAGTGGTTACTAGGTGAATGTGCTCATGTCTCTTGCAGAATTTATTTGTTCTGTGTTGAACAAAATGTTTTGAAATCATCTCTGGTTGATTTTATGACAAAGACATCAACAATTTTATCTAGGTTTTTAAACATTATTTTCTAGTTGCTGCTGCAAATTACTGCCTAATTTGAGGATCTAGTGCCTTTATTACCTACAGTTCCTCTTCCATTTACAACTTGAAACACCTTTGTTAACATTTAGCCCAGAGCCTGTAAGGTTTGAGAGAATATTGAGGCTTTAAAATAATTTATTTCACTGAAACAGAGGGAATTTGCACGTGTGTTTGTGTTTCCCCTTTTAATTTCCTGCTCCTGAGAATAAAAAATAAACCATTATTTTCCTTGTTAATTTGAACACATTAGATCATTTAAAGCATATATGACATTAGTAATTTTTGAAGTTATTTAAAAGGTAGCAACCTTTGTATTTTTTTTTTACCCAGGAGTTAAATAAGGTCAGTGCTCAGCTGGATCAGGTTACAGCTAAGCTGAATGACAAGCAGGAATACTGTACTCAGCTGGAAGCCAGTCTTAAAGAGTACAAAGAAAAATGCCTTTCTTTAGAACAGAAAACTGAAGAACTAGAGGCTCAGCTTAAGGTTTGTATTGAACACAGTATCTGAACTTACAGAAACTGATCTCTGCTGTTAGGCAGCATGTGGTAAAAGCTGTGCTCAAATTAGGGGGGAAGGATTATATCAATACTGCTTCTGTCGGTGTTCTTTTTCACTAATGTTTCCTAATTTAATCCTGTTCTTCCATGCTAGTATATCACATTAAGAAGATAGACCTATGACTATACTGTCATTTTCCTGTGTGGGTGCTTCTACCAACCATTTAGCCACGTGGAAATTGTTATGTGAGGGAACATGAATATGTCCCAAAATTAGAGTTTTGAAGTTTGAACATAAATACTTTACAAGTAGTGGCAGGGAATATATGTTACATTGGCTAGCCCTGCTTAACACCACCTGTCTGGTTTAATTTATGTTTGAAGCCTTTCAGTAGGCTTTTTAGCAAGATTTATTTATCACTATTTCATCTCTTATCTTGATCTGGAGTTTTGCATTCCAGTTCTGAAAAAGTTTTTAAAGTCTGCATAATTCTGGCAGAAGGTTTGCAGAACTTTTTGGTGTTTTGATATAATAGTATTTTCAGTTAAGGATGTGGATTAGTCCTAATGCTTGAGAGCTTTAAAATTTGGGCTTTGACCTTTCTTGACTATTTGAAAAAAATTCTTGGTTGTCAATATTCATAACACACCAAAGCATTTGATACAGGACTCATGGGAGCAATGCAGAACTGGTTTTGCAGTGTTGTCTGTCTGTTCTGAGGGAGCTTAGTAGTCTTTATGCTCAAGACTGAGTTGGGTGTTTTCCCTAGCTTTTGTGCTGTATAGGAGAGAAGAGAGATTGTTTTCCATGTATGAAATTTTAAATCAAATGCTATTAAAAATTAAAGCTGTCATGTATTTAATTATCAACATAATTATTTTGTTCTTCCATCTCTTCTTTTGGACACTGGGGATTTTTTCTGCCTACTTTGATTTGTGTTTTTAGTTTCCATTCTTTTGCTGAAGTTTCACAAGTAGCCAATAGACACAAATGCTTGGGAGAAATACAGAGCGTATGATTTTATGAGGTTCCTAGTAGCTGAAGTGTGAAACTGAGCAGGGTTGTTGATGCTGTCAACAGGAATGCAATTCTATCTTGGCATCATCACCATTCTTTGAGATTATTCCAGTTGAATGTGTGGCATTTAAAAAAATAAAAAAGAAGAGAAAACAAAAGGCCCTCAGGAATTTTTTTTGAGAAACTTGGCCACTTTGTTTTATGGCCTCTGTGTGAAAGCAGAAGTGCCTGTGAAACAGCCAGTATGTTGAAGAGTCTAAACAGTGCCCATTTGCTGAAGGCTTCTGTGTTCTTTATACTCCATTTGAGTGAAAAAGTAACTATGGAAAAAAACAGAATAAAACCCTCTTCCAAGCAAGCATAGAATTTCTTCACTGCTGTAGTTTGTGTCTTAGCTTTTGCTGTAAAGCTTTTTATCTTTACTGTGCAGTAAAATGCCTGCTTGACCTTTAATTTAAAGATGCTTTCAGAATGTTTTGCAAAACCAAAATAGTTCAGTCTGGAGGAGCAGGTGATGAGCAGGAGCTAAATAGTGAAAGATAAATCTCAAAGTGATTAAACAAGTAGATGATGTGTCAGAGTTGTGACTGCTTTCTACAGTTAATGCTACTCACAGACTACATGACTCTGCTTTTTATTGCTATTTTTATTTTGTTGGCTGTGTTCTGATGGCTCTATCTTTTTATTTTTCTCTCTCAGAAACTTGAAGGTGACATTCTTGATGCTAGAGCAAGTAAAGACCAAGCCCTTCAGGAGTTACAGCAACAGCAACATCAGTCTAAAGAATTAGACCTCCGGACAGCAGAACTGAATAAGCAACTTGAAGCAGCAAGAGAAGCGTATGCATTTCCTGTTTTACAGTACTTTTCAATGTCAGACATAAAACTGGGGCAGTTTGGACTAGAGTTGAAATTTTCTGCTTCTCTTCTGTGATTTCATAAAGTCATAAATAAGTGCTGAGTCCCCTATGGTACAAGAACTGTGTTGTATCCCACTTGTTCTTTTTCATTCCATCTGCCATGTTGTCTCACAGGAATCACTGACTGCTGTGATTCACTACACTACTTTATTTGATTCACTGCTCTTGTCAGCTAAATATCTGAACAGTTTGATGTAGTGAGGTTCATATTTAAATATGCATAGCTCTGTAACCTTTTTCAAATACAAATTTGCAATTTATGCATAAGCAGCAAAGGAGTAGTTACTGTTCATTATAATTGAGGAAGAAAGAACCATCTCAAAACTAATTTCTGAAGTTGCTGTTCCATCTTAACTGGAGAGATATAATGCCCATGAATGAAAAGAGAAACATTTAAGGATACAAGATAACCTGTGAAAAAGAACTTTAAAAATGTTTTATCCTTTTGTATTTGCAGGATGTCTAATGCTCAACTGGATTTGCAGAAGAAATCTGAGGCTCTTGACCAAGCAAACCAACAAATTTCAAAGCAGGAGGCAGAAAAGGCCAGTCTCAAACAGAACCTTGAGAAATCAAATCAAGATGCAAGTAAACAGCTCAAGGAACTTGATTGCAAAGCGCAAGCAGCCATGTCAGAGCTGCAACAAGTGAAATTAGAGAAGGACGCTCTATTAAAGGACCTTACAGATACCAAAGATAAGCTGTCAAAAAGCTCTGAATCCTTCAAAAAAAGAAAGGAGGAATTAGAAAAAGAAATTAAAAAAGGAAAAGCAGCTATGGCAGAAATGGTTAGTAGGTTCTTTAATTAGGCATTAAGTTTGGTGTATATACATTCTGATAAAATGATTTTACTTACTGTTTGAAAACAGTGTACATATGATGACTCTGCATGAAAATTTATTACTGTAAGGAAGACCAAATTGTGATTTTTAGTAGTTCATACATGTTTCCCAACTTAAATTTTTGCCTGGATATTTACAGTAGTAAACATCAGTCATACCACATAACAGGATCCTTGCTTCTTGCTGTATGCCTTTAACATAGTGAAGAAGCTAAATGGAGATGACAAGTGGTGAAACAATTTGATGGGAAATGTCCCCCTTTTAAAAAAATACATCAACCATATTATAACAACACAAAGTTTTAGAACCTTTGCTAAAATGCTGTTGCATTGAAGAAGTTATTTTTCTGAGGCCATTTTCATTTCCTTTCTGAAGTCTTCATATATAGAATTTCCTGTGCACTTGTCTGGACATGCTGGAAAGCTGCATACTGCAGGCAGAGAGAGTAACATCATCTGTCATTTGGGGAATGCCTAGCTTAAGGTATTATTGAATTTTAGAATGGTCTTACAAGTGACAGTATAACAAATGCTTGACCACTATTTTTGCACTATTGAGCAACCTATTATGGTAAAGAAAGTAAACTATTACTAGGGTTAAAATACACGGTTTTTTTACCTTTTCTGCCTTGGCGATATGATTGGGCACTATATGAATACAGTTGTTCTGACAGCCTTGTCTCAAACATGGCAGGGAGTGTCCTTCTCATAGTCTTCTCATCTTACATGTCACCATTTTCCAGAACCCATTCAGACCTGCTTTTATTCTAAAAAAAAAAAAAATCTGCTCCTAGTTATAAAGAACATTTGTATCTTACTCATTCACCTTTTGAAGAAAAGCTCTTTTGTTTGCTTTTCTTAGTTACTGCTGTTTAAAGATCTGTTTCTCCTAAAAACTTGAAGGATTTTCTCCCCAGTTTAGGAGTTAAAGATAGTAGTCCATATTCTGCTTCTAGTTCTCTAGTCTTTTGGAGGGTCTCCACTGCCTTAAATGCATAGTATTTGGGCTTAACATGTGGTTGCATATGCATGGAGGTCTGCAAATGTACTTGCTTGTGAGTTTTAGAACATGAGGGAATGAACCTACTACTTCATCAAGAAGGGGTGCCAAGCACAGCTTCTAACAGGGAGCTTCACAGCTTCTAACTCTCCCTAATCAGAAAAACTCTGGCACATGCCTGAGTTTATTAGTATAGGGCATCAAATGTGTGGCTTAGATTTGCCACATAAAGTTTTGAGAGGTTTTGAGCTGAAAGTATCTGCAGATGAGAAGGTATGTTTTTCATTGAAAATGAAAGTGTTGTTTTTAAGGATATGTAACTCCTGCAAAAATACTCTGTACATGGTCTGAGAAACTAACAGGAATATTTCCTTGTCTTATGTTTTTTAGGAAAAATCTTGCCAAGAATTAAAACACCAGCTTCAGATACAAACAGAGTCTGTAGCTAAAGAGAGGAATGAATTGAAAAATTCACTGGAGAAAAAGGAGGGGGTAAGTTGTCTGCTTATTTTCAAAAATCTAAAAACCAATAATAATAAATGTTTAAAAGATTGATTTTCAGTCCCAGACCTGCTGGGACTGATGAGAGATAAAGAAGTTTCAATTCTCAAATTGTAAACTATCTTTGGCACTGAAATAAGGTGATACTAAAACTTTCCTAGAGGGTAATGTGAAGCTTTAAAATATAGGTTTTAGTCTTAGTTTTCTGTGCTCCACATAACATAGAAGGGGATTTTACTCCTTCAGGTTTTTTCATTAGTGAAACGGTTACTTGGTATTACTCTGTCCCCATTTTCTTTTGTACTTCCATACAATAAAAGTTGTTATTTCATATCCTTAGATCAGTTTTATTCTCAGTCTTATTCAGCATGTTCTCAGTGTAGTTGACAGGACATTCTCAGATATCCTTCAAGGACTGAATTGCTTTTCCAAGCTTGTGTAAGTCATTTTCTCGTGACTACAGAGGACCAAATGTACTTCTTTTTCAAAGATGAGCATTCAGACCATACAGTGTATCTGGCAGCTTGAAGGACATGTCTGCTTTCATGGATTTCTTTACCCAAGCCATCTTCTGTTTTCTAAAGGAATCAGAAAGGATTTGATCAGTGGACATGGTTTGATAGACTGTGATGGACACTTACTGTCTGAAAGAGGTTTGCAGGTGTAATGGTAATTGCTCTGTGACTATTGCTGCTACTTCCCTGGCTCCTCACTCGTTCAGCTGAAGTGCTGTGGTGCTCAGTGGAAAGTGCAGAAGGATGAGCTTGGTGTATGCTGCAGTTGGCAGCAGGAGAGCCCTAACCACTCCTGGTGTGAGAAAAGTTGCTGATCTTAATTTAGAATGGATAAAAAAAGACTGCTCTTGATCTCTGGGTAGTAAATTTGGAATAACAGATTATTTGAATGTGTTACAGCAGTTCTGAAAAATCGTCTTGCTAGTGTTCAACCACATATCTCTGAAACAGCAGTGGCACTGTGGGATGGTCTGATTCTGTGAACAGCATGTACAAATAGTGATTTAAGTTTAAATTATATACAGTTACTTAATATTTTTGAATATAGATTTCTAAGCAGTTGTCTATAGACCTTGATTCAGCAAGAGCACAAGTACTGGAAATCCAGGGTCTTCTGAAGGAAAAAGAAAAAACTGAGCAACATCTGCAGGGAAAGCTGAGAGAGTTAAAGGAATCTTTTGAGCAGAAGAAAAAACATAGTGAGACACTGCAAGCTGAATTAAAAACTGCCCTTTTAGAAAAGGTAAGACTGTCCTTTCTTACTCTTATAAGAAAATGAATGTAAATTTTTCTGATAAATACCGAGGCTTTTATGTCAATAACTTTGTGATAAACTCTGTTTGCTGTAGTCTTGTTGGAAATTATTAGGTCAGGATGTGGAAGTAAGGTCTTCAGATGCTGTTGGAGATAGAAACAACAACATCAACAACAGTAATGTAAAGAACTAGTGCTGAAATATGAATTCCATAGGAATTTAATTTTAATAAAGGGATAAAATAAGCTAGACTGAATGTGGACTTTTTGCTTCAGGAGCAAAGCAAGACCTGCCATTTTCTTGTAAAGCAGTAGAATTTTGTGAGAGTATTTTTAGAGAAACTCTGCAGCATTTTAAAATGTCCATGGCAGTTTTAAACCAAGTCTTCTCATATTATACCAGAAGAATTTATCTGACTAACAGTATGAAACTCATAAACCATAATGGAAAGAGTTCAAATGTCTAACAACATTAGGGAATGTTATGCTGTGTGCCATGTGCTGTTAAATATGGCTCCAGCTTTGGCTGCCCACTGCTACACGTCCATATTTGTGCTTTAGACAGCCTATGGAAACCTTTAGGTCTTGGTGTTGTGGTTTAACCCAGCTATCAACTCCGCACCACAGAGCCACTCAGTGACTTGGGAAGACAAACACTATCACCCCAAACTCCCTTCCCTTTCTTCTTCTGCCATCTCCATATGCTAGGCATGATGTCATATGGTGTGGAATATCCCTTTGGTCAGTGGGATCAGCTGTCCTGGCTGTGCCCTCTTCAAATTCTTGTGCATCTTCAGATTTCTTGCTGGTGGGGTGGTGTGAGAAGCAGAAAAGGCCTTGGCTCTGTGTGAGTGCTGCTAAACAGTAGCTAGAACATCCCTTTGACAACAACACTGTTCCCACCACAAATCCAAAAGACAGCCCCCATACTAACTACTATGAAGGAAATTCTACCTCAGCCAAAACCAACACACATGGAAACATTATTCCAATATTTAGTGTTTGGTCTTAATATAACACACTAATTCACTTAGTCTTTTGTCGTGAATTAAATTTTGCTGTTAAATTAGTTATAAAATGTTGCTGTCAAATCACAAATACCAAATTACTGAACTGTTACTCCACAAGAAGAACAAAATTCTCTTCTTTCAGTAGAAATGCATTTTATTGAAATGCTTAAGCTAACTTTACTGTCTGTAACTTTAACTAAAACTTTTCTATGCTTATGTTTCAGGCAGAGCTGGAGAATAAACTACAACAACAGTCTATTTTGTCAGCACAGGAGCTTAAAGCAGAGAAGGGCAAGCTAGCAGACTTACAGAAGGCCCATGATAAACATAAAGAAAACATGGAGAAGCTGCAGCTGGATCTTTATGGGAAAGAGTCTGAGCTGCTGGCAACCAGGCAAGACCTCAAGGTACTTGCAGTCATTTTAATGTCACGTGTGATTTAGTGGGATGTTATTATTCATTTTGAAGACCAAGAAACCATGCAGGAACTGTATAAGTAAAAAAAAAAATCTCTTCTGCTATATATAGAATTAATGCTTTAGTTTAATCCCTTCCCCCAAGACAAAGGAAATTCTGAGACTAATTTAAAGGCGAACATATTTACCAGTTTACCTGAAATACCCTTGAATTTCTGCAGCAGCAAAGTGAAAGGTGGTTTGGTTTTATATTCACTAAAGAGTTATTTCTTTAATGTTGCTTTTTCTTGTTATATACTGTAGCTTTCAACTAATTTATATAGCATACCTAATTAGGGCAAGGTCTGCCAGCATGTGAGTAACTGCTGTCTTCCAGATGATTTAAGTAGAATATTCCTGGCTGATGGTAGATGTTAGGAGATGTTGAACTAATAGAAACAGTAGGCTTTCAGACCTCCTTGGAATACAAGTGCCAGAATTTAGTCCTTGAAGTTTTTGCTATTCCTAAACTAAGTTTAGGAATATTAGGAAGTTATCTGGTTATGTATTAGTGTGCAGTGCCTTCAAAGAGGTATTGCTGAGAATTGAGCCAGTCAGTAAAGGTGTTTTTTAGCCCTTTTTTCTGCCCTTCTGCTTTGTGTCAGTACTAAGGCGGTGCTTCAGTTAGTCCCAGGACATACTGTGCCACAGAGACTGAACTCCAGGCTCAGGTTATTTTAAGAAACAGAGAAATACCTCCTTTACATATAGGCCACTGCAATTTTATTAGACTTGCTCCTCTGTAGTATTAAATTACCTCCCATGTTTTTCTGCAGGTTATTGAAGCTTTACTTTCTGTGCACCATGGTTGAATTGCTACATTAAATTGTGGAGAATTTCCGCATGATTAACAAGCAGTGGTGGTTTAAGCATATTCTTTCTTTCAGTTTATTACTATTGCACATATACATCTGTGAGTTTATTTCCTGCAATACATTTAAATCACCATTTGGTAACGGAGTGGCCTGTTGGAGCATTGGATGTGTTTGGTAACTTGGGGTTTTTTTTGGTACAGTTTTGTCCTAGTTAGTTTTCATTAAAGAATCACTTGTTACAAAGTAGCTGTGAATAAGTATTGTTACTAAAGTACTTTGATGACCTCTGCTTCTGGCAAGTACAAAATAAGACAGTAAGTGTCTCAGATGTATTTAGACCCCATGGAGATGGTAGCAAAAGTGAGGGAGCGCTCTGTGCAAAAAGGTCAAATAAGGTGATGGCAATGGGGAAACAAGATTTTTAAGGTGTGCAATCAGGTAACTTGATTTATGATGTAAGTTTCTGTGGAGCCTACAGAACCTGAAGATTGGGGTCCTAGGTACTGACTGGTGTACCAATTTGGAAGGTGTTTGCTTGATCTAAAAATTTTGTAAAAAAACATATGTTAATTAGGATTAGTGAGGTCTAATTGATACCACTTTTTTTTTTTTTTTTCTTTTATTCTGGAAGAGGGAAAAGGTGGGGAGCTGAACTTTCATCATGGCTGTGCTACCTCAATACAACCAACAAAAACTTGTCTTAGAAAACCACAAAAGAAAAAAGGACATTCAGACAGCCTCGGAGTGACAATGTTAGTCTTGAGAGGTGAATATCAAAATGCCACTGAAGGCAGAAGAACTTTATAGTAGAATTTAACAGCCTATTCAAAATCAGTTGTCTCCATGATTTTTTTTTGCCTTGGGCAAGTTAATACTACTTAATAAAAGTAGCTCATTTGAGCCAGGGCTGTGTGTTTTGACTGAAGTTTGGAACCAAAGCTGATGGGCAGGCTGAGCTTTAGATTGATCTTAATCTTCTTAGTAGGCAGCGGTAGAAGTTTTAAAACTTGTCTGTATGTAGGGGTCAGCTTGGGGGTCTTTCAGTGCAGGATTTTTTTAGCAGAGGTATGAACTCCGTGCCAAGCAGTGTTGAGCCAGGAGCCCAGCATTGTCCAGAACAGGCCTAGCCAGGCCATATCGTGACATCCTAGTAATGCTAGATTTAGAAGGGAAAACTTAAACGTCCTTAAACACAACTTAAACATGGTGCTGTGGCACCGTGCTGTTGGCGGGCCAAGGTTCCAGGCGTGGGGATGGATCATGAAGGGCTGGTGAGGTGGCGTGGTTCCTGGGAGGGCACGGCGGGAGTTGGGCTGTGCACTGAGCACCATCTGCTGGCACTGTCGGGAAAATCCCTGCTGGGATCCACGGCTCAGCTCTGGCTGAGCGGAGGTGGGCATTGAGGTGAGGATCGGGCACTTTTGCGGTGCGAGAGCCGGCGCTGCCCGAGGCAGAGCCGCTGCCATGGGCACCGGCAGAGCGCCCGAGCCGTGGGGCTGCGCCCAGCTGCCAACCCTGAAGCTCCGAGTCCCGCAGAGGAAACTGAAGTCTTGTCATTAAAAAAAAAAAAATATATATATAAATAAAGAATAAAATCAGAAGTGGGAATGGAGTTATAATTTTATGGATACTATTTGCTGCAAATTTAGTTTGGTTTAAAAATGTCTCTTAACAGTAACTTTCACGCAAGCTTTTGTCTTTGTGACTGCAAAAAGAAATAGGGTAGAATTTCAGTGCTTGTTAAAGCTGTAGTTTTTGATAAAAAAAAGGATATATATAATTAAAAAAACCACTAAATTTTTGTATATACACACATTTATACAAATATCTGTGTGTGTGTATATTCACACAATTTCTTTTAGTGGGAAAAAATATACTTTTTATATAGAAGAGTTAATAAAAATGTACAAACTGTTTTGCCTTGATTTTGACTTAGTGTGAGAATACTTTCTGTGAATGTGATCTCCTGAGCTCTGCCAAGTATTCTTGAGTTTTGGCATTTGTGCATTTTTTAGTCAGTCCTGGTTTCTTCTGTGTTTTTGAAAGAATGTTTCTTTGTCTCCAATGCTGGCATTGCTGTCAGCATATATTCAGTGAATGTTCTGGAACAGAACTTACACTTGCCAGACCTCAGTTCTGAGGAGCCCAAGTTACATACAGTCAGTCAAACTCTTTTTCTTAGGGAGTGAAGAGAAATCAGGTTAGCATCTGTGAATAATTTAATGTTGGTTCTTGTGGACTGGGATGAGGGAGCACAGACTCAAATGATTGTTTTTGCACTTCATGTGCAAAATGAATGAATCTAGGTCTTACCACCCTGCTAGGACCAGTTGTGATGCTGGTGCTATGATTTGCACTGGCACAGCCCAAGCTTTAATGAATCCAACTGTAATTTTTTAATATTTTTATTTATTTAAACTCTGTACCAGTCAACCTAGCATTTCTCTTTTATTTACACAAATAAGTACTGAATGACCTCTTTTGTTCTGTACCTTGTCTCAGCCTCAGTATAGATGCAGTGAGATAACCTGTACAGTGCAGATACTTTGAGGGGTGGGTTGAGAGCGAAGTACCCACTGTGTGTGGGTGTCACTATCCACTTCATTAAATTTCATCATCTGGTGCTAGCAAGTTTGATGGAACCACATTTCTTCTGCTGGAAACAAATTTGAATAAAAGTTGTGGCTTTACTATGTTCTTTCTAAAACTTCAGAGACTGTTGGGTTTTCCTGTGAAGATATTATATGATGATGCTGGACTTCCTATCCTTCCTCAATGTTAGGAAAATATGGTATTCCACTGCACACAATGGAACAGAGGGAGATAATTTTGCTTTCTGAAATACTCGCCCTACTGAAACCTCAAAACTGCAAAAGTGCCTCCCATTTTTTTTTTTTAAACAAAAAATTGAGTCAACACCTTTAAAAGTATTAAGTAGTAAACTCTAATATCTCAGAAAGCAAGTAAAGTAATTTGTCTGAAGATTAATTTTAAAAGCTGGTGTGAATTTTTTAGAGCCGTGGGGATTGTTGAAAATGCTGTTGAATCAGCAGTGTTCCATCACTGCTGTTTCAAATTAAGTCTGACTCTACAAGCAACAAAGGAGGGTCATGAGGCATCAGAAATGAATTAGCTTTTAAATCAACATGGGAGAGACTTAAGCATATGCATAATTGAATGAAATGAAAATTCTGCTTATAGTTCCTTTTAAGGAACTAACCTTCAACAAGAGGTTTGAGTAATATTTAAGCAAGAACTTCAAGAAAAATTGAGCTTATCTTGAAAGAATTTAAATCTTTACTGCTGCAATGAAGGCAGTAAACTTATTACTAATAATGAATCTCAGCTCACCTTCTGTATCATAGCATCAAAAATTTCCATAAAATACCAATATTTTGGGAAAGTGGAGGATGAGTTTTTTTGGTTTTTTTTTTTCTTGTTTTCAAGTGGAACTAGTCTTTAACTAAGCTAGAATGTTTAAAAAACCTTCAGAATATTAACTCAAAAAGTCCTCCAAAGTTTGACTTTGCTGTAAGCCAACAGAATGAGCTTTCGCTTTGGGTGCAAGTTTTGGTTTGTTTCTTGGGATTTTGTGACCTGTTTCAGAGAGATAAATCAAGGTTCTTTTTCTAGCTAATGGTGAGAGTTAGAAGCAAATAAAGTATCATCTCTGGATTTTAAATGAAAGTTTAAACTTAATATTTACAATGCTTATTCAGCAGAAACTGTGAAACATTTTATCCTGATATTAGCATTTTTATCTTAAACATTTCACTTCAGAATTTAAAAAAAAATTACAGTTGTCCTAGCACTAACATATTATTAAGTCATTGGTGAAAAATAGCATTGAATGATTTTTGAAATCTTCAAACTATAGCTTCACTGTTTCTTAAGTAACAGCTGTCTAGAGTTATAGAACACTTGATTTGCCTAGATAATAAAATTAATTTGTGTGAGCAAATTCAAGTGTATTCTCTTTTTGTCAGTTACCTTTTTTTTCTGCCTTCCTGCATGTTTTCACCTTTTGTCTGTGTAATGATGCAAGCTGGAATATGTACAGTAGGGTTTTGTTCCTGGAAATTATACTGGCATAGTTTCTTTTTACTTGGGATAACCTTGTAAACCAGAAGTTTTTGTAATGTTCTGTCAACACAGGAAGCTAAATGTTGCACTCTAGTTAGCAATTTTTCTACTTGGAAATGTTTAAGTGGCTGTTTAGTATCCGAAACTTTTATACTGACAGGTAACTTGCAGAACTCTCTTTTTAATTAGTCCACAGAAGAAAAACTTGCTCTAGCTCAAGAAGAATTAGTTTCCAGCAGGAATCGAATTGCTAGCAATAATCAACAGATTCAGGAACTGAAGAAAGCTAAGTCTACACTGGAGCAGGATGCATCAAAGAAAGAACAGCAGCTGGGTGAGAAGAACAAAATGCTACAAGATCTTCAGAATGACAGGGTAAATGCTTCTGCCTTTTGAAATCTCCACACAGGAGATTTCACATCCACCCCATGCATGCACACTTTATTATTTTCGATTACATCCCTAATGTGAGAGCATAACGCTGTTACAGTGCATAATAATGACAATTTTACTGAACCCCTGGTGAAAAGACTTAAGAAAGAGACAATTGTAGTGAATTTGGTTCAGAATATGCTGTTAATTTGTTCTAGGCAAGTTTGTGGCTAGATAGGTGGGAAAACATTATTAGTTTTAAATATAAAACTGCAATCATGCTGCTAATTGCTTTACAAACTGTGGATGGATATATGGCAGTTGTTTCCCCATAATTACAAAGCCACTGGATGTTTTTGGGCCCTGGATGTTTTTTAATTGGTTGGGTTTTGTATTTTGTGAACTTTGTAACTTTTCTAGCACTTCTATTTCTCTTCAAGATTTTGAAAGACAAAGATTTGGCTAATGAAAAATGTAAAACGGCAGAGCTCCAGGAAATAAGGAGTAGGCTTGAAAAAGAAGGTGCCAAGCTGGGTGAAGAGCTTAGAGTCTGCAAGCAAGAATTTGAGAAGGTACATTGAGACAAACTAAGTTTTCCTCATGTGTTTGGTTATCTGATGAGAAGTATGTGCCTACTCACTCGGTAGATGTTATCTGGAATGGCTTTGCAAAGATGGGTACTGTAAATATTGGTATTACAGGTAAGGGAACCAAAACCCAGATTTTATTTAGCTTCCTCAGCAATGATGTCTTGGTCAGTGATGATCCTTAAGCGCCAGGCCTAGTGAGCCAGGTGGGCGGCGTATGTCCTGGCTTTTCTTCAGTTCCACTGTAAATTCATTCTGCATACCCCTGCTTGACTATTCTGAAATGAAAAGCTGTCCAAAAGAGTCACAATGGTGAAGTTTTCCAGATATTCTAGGCACATCTGGGACTTCTCAAGGATGCTTGGTAGAGTTGAAACTCCCTTTGTGTTGTTTCTTAAAACGTCTTAAAAAGTCACAGCTGGGGAAGCCTCCTAAAAGGCAAATATCAGGAGCCTCATAAAAGACAAACTCTCCTTCAAGATCATAATAATCAGTTGAGCTCTCTAAAGGATTAAAGTTGGGAGGCTTTAATGAAATAATTTTTAGTGTGCAGTAAAACTGCTTCTTGCCACACTCTATATATTCTGGTTTTTAATCTCTATAGCGTTCCTAAAAGGCTGCAGTTTGTTTTTCATAATGTACTATTAGCAGTTATATTTGCATCTTAAACACACTTTGTTTGAATTGTTGCAAAAGTATAAATACAGGTACAATTCCCTATACACTAATAAGGAGAGAATAACACGATGACTTATGACCTTCAGATGTTCTTTTGTTCCCCATTGTTTAGAAAATGGTCTATAATTTTTAGGTGTAAGTCTGCACTTTGTTTCTCTCGAGCACTCTGTGCTTGGGGAAAGGTATTTTAATTCTTGTTATCCCTGAAATCTCTAGCCTAAAGAAAAAAATTTATAAAAATGTAAAAGGTGTGCAAACCAATACCAGCTTAATAGTAATTTCTTCATCTCCTTACAAGCAATCAGACTGAAAGTCTCCTAAAGACTTAAATTCTGTTTCCCATTTCCTAGCAAGGAATGGATGTATCTGTAGGGCATCCTCTTGTTCTGAAGATATGTTCTTTTCACTGTCCTTGCTTTTCTTTTAACTTGTATTGTGAATTTTGATTTATGGAAAATGGTCCATCCCTATTAATCTTTTAGTACCTATATGCTTGGCTGTGTAATTTTAAGGAAAAGGATTTCTATAAATTAAACTTACTATTCTGCTTGAGTTCAGTCACAGAAGAGCAAGTAAAGCCATTATTTATATCATCCCACTTGCTTAAAACAGAGTCGTTTTTTATACATTGAAGACTAATAGAAACTTTCTTCCACCAGCATTGAGTTTTACATTTTCATTTATGTAGTTTTTAACCTCATTATTGCAGCCAGAGAACAATATGAAGTAAATTTTTGAACAGCACCTAGGAAATGACAATGGATGTGTCATTTCAAGGAATGGCAGAAAACAATTCAATAGATTTTACTCTGTACTTTAGCAGAAACATGCATTAACAGTATTTTTAAAATTTTAAAATTGAATGTTGATCATAATATAATCAGTGATCATGAAAATCACTGATACTTTGCTCTATAAAGTCATCCTTTCTTCCAGTGATAAAACTAAAAATTATTGCTGTCCTCTCCTAGGAAAGGATTACAGTATTTTTGAATTTAAATCCATTTACACTTTCAGTGCTGCTATTTTAACTTTGTATCCTAACAGGAGGTGACAAATCTCAAGGATGCAAACCAGCTATTGATTCAACAGAAATTAGAACTGCAGAGCAAAATAGATAATGCAAATTCAACTCTGGAACAGGAGAAACAAAAACATCAAGCTATCAAAGATCAGCTGAAAAAAAGAGAAGAGGAGCTGAAGAAAGAATGTGGTGAAATTGAAGCCAAACTGGTTCGTATGTTAAAGAGAATGAGACTGCTGTTTTGTGAACATGCCTTTGGATTCTTCCAGGGACAGAAAAGAAGCAATGGGTTGACTTTAGTTTCACTTTACATGAGTTTTAAATTACAAGATCAAAAATCTTTGAAGCCTTTAATGGTATAGGAAAATTCAGTGAGGCGACAGCCTTGTCTAGTAGAGTATGTTGATTAAAAGTGATTCTATTACAGTAAGATTCTTTGCCTCAGTTAAATGTAGGGAATAGGGAAAGAATGCTTGGAAGCTTGTTTTTCATTTTTCCATTGTTTTTATAGCACACAGAGAAAAAAGACAAAGAAGAGGAAAAACGGAAACATGAGGAAAAGGAGACTAAGCTCACAATGCAGGTCACAGCCCTGAATGAAAACCTGGCTACCATGAAGAAAGAGTGGCAGAGCAGTCAAAGACGAGTGAGCGAGCTGGAGAAACAGACAGATGATTTACGTGGGGACAATGCTGTCTTGGAAGCAACAGTTCAGAATAATCAGGATGAGAGAAGAGCATTGCTGGAGAGGTAAGCTGTGGTCATGATGTTGTGGAAGTGTAGTTTGAGAAATTAAATTAACCGAGAATGAAAACTTGTTTGAGTTGATTTGGGATTCTATATTCATGCTTTATTTAAATCTGTATTTGTTCTTAGTGGCTATGGGTGCAGTTTCCAGAGTGCAACCTTCTGTCATCCCTGCCAAAGCACAGCAAGGGGTTTTGTGAACCAGCTGTGCTTTTTGTGATTGTTCTGTAGAAAATAAGGCAGGCTTATCATGATTTTTACTTATCACCAAAGCCACAGCCTTGTGCTTGGTCTCAAAGATTTATGTCCACCACTAAGAGCCTTCTAAATCCACTGGGCTCCTCTGAGATTTCAGGTCTATAGGCTGTGGCTTCTCATCTGTTGTGTCAACTTTGTGAGGCCTGGCAGAGAGAACTTTTCTTACCTAAACTAACTGTCCTTCTCCATCACTCTGAGGCTCCCATGCCTTGATTCAGTTCAGAGGCATGCCAGAAGCTTGGAAGAGACCCCTTAAGTAACACAGGATTTGCATAGGAGCTCCTAGGTGTGCCCACTTCTTTGTATTAGGAGGCTGAATATGTAATTGGATTAGACAGACTGAAGTTCACAAAGGATGCATTTTCTTCCTCCTGAAAACCTGCAGTCTCATTTTCTCCAGTCCTGCTGTTGTCTCTACAATATATTTAAATCTTAGGTAAGCAGAGTGCTTTTCCTTCAGGCAGCAGGAGGCCTTGCAAGGCAGCGGGAGCTACCTGAATGCAGTGATTTCCAGGGTAGAAGAAACACCTGTGAGACAGGAAGCTTTCTTTGTCCTTATTTCCTGATGTGTTTGGTGAAAGCAGAGGGGAAAACTTTTGTTGGTACTGTCAAGCTTGTTGATTGACTTTTGAGCAGTAAACCTTGAAAAAGCATGGGATCAGTTCAAGTGAGATCCTCTTTCTTTGGCAATCCCTTGCTGTACTGAGTTGAACTCATCCAGTAGCTGTTTACAGCTTGGCAGAAAAATACCCTTTGCTATTTGGTTTTGAAAAGTTAACTGAGTTTCAGCTGATGGGAGGTGGCCTTGATAGAATAAAAAGGCTTCTTTTCTGCTCTGTTGCCTGACCTGACCTGTGGTAGCTGGTTTGTGAGAGTGTCCTGTTGCACAGGGGTATTTATCAGGGCTTGCTGTTGAGGGACAGCATTCAGCACTGTCCCTGGTTGGGGTGTAACTCCAGGTATTGATAAGCTGCAGATACTTGGGAGCAATGACAGTATAATCTTTAACTGATTGTTAAACAGATACAACAGAATGTGTTCCTAATTAAGGCATCCAAGAACTTTTCAGAGCAAGGATTTTTTTTGGCTGGATTTTAAGCGGGTAACTTCTCAGACTGACAACCAGCCCAAGGACATACAGTCTACAATGTCTTAAATGCTTTGAGCTGACTAGTTATTATTTTACCTCAGGTGTATAAAAAGTGAGGGGGAAATTGAAAAGCTTCAAGCCAAACTTGTAGAAATGAAGAAAAAGCTGGACAATACAACTGCTGCCATGCAGGAACTTGGCCGAGAAAACCAGTCATTGCAGGTATAATTAGATTTGAAGCTGTTAAACCTCTTGATTTTCTGTCTGGGACCTTAGGAGAAATTCAAATTTGTGTCAGATTGGTGGTGGGTTGCCTTTCTAGATGAATTAAGGTGTTATGTTTGTGGTGTGTGAGGGTCATACTTCTGTCTGTGTGTTACTAAATCTGCTTATAGTTTTGAATCTTGGAAGGTGTCCTCTCTGAACAAACATAAGCCCTGAGTATCATGACAGAATTGGTGCTTTTATTTTGCAATGGGTAGTGCATGCTGTGGAAATTAGGATATTAGATGGAATTAGACATGCATTTTTTAAAAGCCTGATGCTATTTTTTACATTTTCTGTATAGATCAAACACACACAAGCTCTCAACAGGAAGTGGGCAGAAGACAATGAGGTGCAGAATTGTATGGCCTGTGGAAAAGGCTTTTCGGTGACAGTAAGAAGGGTAGGTGTGTTCTACTCTGTGTCTATGGTGATTTTCTATTTTTATTGTTTCCAAATTCTTAGATGGGATACAGACTTCAGAAAATGGCCTGAATAGTGCTGTGATTCTCAGGACATCTCAGAATATTGTTATTGTTTGAAATGCCTTAACATATTAAAAATAAGGGCTATGGAACTTACTTTATTCATGATTCTTTTTCCATTCAAACATCATCAGTTTATAAACAGTGTTAAAATGCTTCCATCCCTATTTTGCAAGCAGGCAAAACTACACTGTTGTAAGCTTATTTACAGAAAATATATTTATAACCAATCTGAACTAGATTTTTGGGTATAAAAGGAATGTAAATTCCTTAATGAAATTAAGTATGTGTGAAAAGATGAGGCATCACCATGATCTGGTGCTTTGTGACTTTATATTTATAAACATGGAACAGAAGAAACAATTGGATGTGCTTCAGGTCTGTAGTCAGACCTTGCTTGAAAAACTGGTGGTCAGCTAAGACGTTAGCTTCAATTGGCAGGGTGTGCCCTTCATCCAGAGATGAGCACCTCTCCAACAAGTGATTTGGCAATGGAGTAGATGAGGGATATTTGTGAGGTTCATTTTTGCAGAGCTCCTTGATATAGTCTTAGGTGATTCTCCCTGGCCTGCACTATATTGGTGATGTTCTTTGGGTAATCTCTGAACAAAGGCTGCTGGATCCTTTGATTCAAGGATACTTCTCAATGTGAAAGCAGGTAATTACATATAAGAAAACCATTTTTATCTGACCAGAACAAGTTCAAGGGAAAAATTTAAGAGAAGGGTGAACTTAACCATCTGTTTTCTGAAACTGGTATATTCTCTTGACTCAGTGAAGCACTTCTGAATGTTTTACTCATATACCCTTTAGAAAGGATGCCAGTTAAAAATTAAGACTAATTTTTGAAACATGAGAGTTGATTTGGCTGAGAGTTGACTTGACATGATAGTGAGATCTCTATTGGTGATCACTCTCTGCCACTGATATTCAGCATGTATGTTTCTTCTTTTTTTGCAGCATCACTGTAGACAGTGTGGAAATATCTTTTGTGCCGAGTGCTCAGCAAAGAATGCCTTAACTCCTTCTTCCAAGAAGCCTGTCCGAGTGTGTGATACTTGCTTTAATGACTTGCAAGGATAACTGGCTATCGTGAGTGACAAAGAAATGTTACACTAAAATTTACTATTTCTGTTGATGCACTTCATTCAGCACTCAGACTACTATTCAGTTTGGACAATGATTGTAACACTTGGCAAAATCTAGTATATTTTAAAATGTTTATTGAAACCAAGCAAAACTATTGTATTTTTTTGTGAGACATGGGCTCAGATCATCCATAGCTTACTAACATTAATCATGGAAAGAGCTTTTATGTCTAGATTAGAGATATCCAGTTATTTGTAAATAAAGTTTAAACAGAGGAGTAACAATGTATTTTTTTATCTTTTATTTTTTTGTTCAAGAGAAACAGCATTTATGTGATATTGAAATTTATTCTTGTTTCCTTCAAAGAAAAAGGAAGATGCAAAAACTTGTGAGGATTTTATGTATCGAATGTTGCTGTAAAAACATAACTAATTGTTGCATTTGATTGCATATCTGATGGTCTTTATAAGCCATTTTGGTTTCTTTTTCTATCTCTCTTGTTCTTGCATTTTTCTCTCTAAAGTTTGAACTCCACAGTGAGGGTAATGACTGGACTCAACTTCAACTCCGTTTTATTTGCCCACTTGTAGTGTCAGCAGCCAAGTCCTTATCCAATACAGCACTGGGGTGCTGGAACATCTTTACACATACGGTATTGCACAGTTGGTGTGTGAGTGCATCTGTCTCTCTGAGAGAGTATGTGTGATCAAATGAGGAGACAAAGTTTATCTGGCATTGTAGCAATATTATATGATACATTACAATATTTCATCCCACAGTGATCTATTTCACTTTTACTAATTGGTTGACAAATTTTAATATTCAAGGCACCCTTACATGTGGGTTTTAAAAGGCAAACAATGCTGGTAGAAGCCTGTAGCACATCTCTGCCCCTGCCCATATCCTGGGAAGCACTGGGAGATCACTGCTGTTCTAAGGGAAATTCAGACCTTCAAGCCAGGTATCCAACTAAGAAAAAGTATTTTTTGAGTCAGCTGTAGTTTTTCTGGCCTTTTTTTCTGTCCCTTCCTTTAGCTTTTTGTGGAAGAAGCTGAACTCCTGCTACACCTTACAAACCTCACTTCTCCATTACTCCATCTGACCCTCCATTGCTCTGAAGTGTTCTGTTAGTTATGTGATTTAGTCTGCTTAGAATGGAAGACTATCTTTGTTATAAGCCAAACAGCTCTAATTAAGAGGCCAATATATTACTATAAATATTTATTCATATTTTCTGTACTGGGAAAGAAAGTTTTTTGTACAGTTCATGTAGGCTCCAGACTTCTTTTTTTGTTGTGATTTTGTTTGCACCTCTCCATTTTTGCTGGCCTCTCTCCAACTTTTCTTCCCTTTGTATCTGGTATTTCAAAACCCTTAAGATTATTTCTTCTGAGCAGGAGTTATGCTTTCCAATATTTAGGACTTTTTTGTCTTAAACACCCTAATAAATTCTCCACCCCTCAAATGCTTCAGTATCTTACCAAATTTTGCCAGCTGTTCAGAGAAAAAGGTTGTGTCCTGAATTCCTCTACTTCTTTCCTGAGACAAGGAATCAAATTCTGTCACAATATGGTAGCTTAGTCATTATTAGGAAGATTTGTTTGCTTTTATCTAGTTACAGCTCTATATGTGAATGAAGAATTGTCTCCTTTATAAAAATGTCTTGTCTTGATTAACTGTCAAGTGAAAAAACTTCATCCCTCTACTCCAGAAGTAGTGATCTATATGTTTCATATTCTCTTTTAACTTACCCAGGAAGTTCTACATTTGCATTGTCAAGGAGTTTTCTTAAAATTCAGTTCTTATTTCCCAAAAGCCAACTAAATGATTTAACTTGTTCTTGTCACTGTAAAAGGCTTTGGGCTGCAAATGTGGTTCATACAAAGCACTGACCTGCTTTTCTGGTTTGAACTTGAGAGTTGTTTTGGGGGTTTTTTTGAGAAAGCAACTGCTGCAACAATTCCATATGAACAGAGCCTCTGGACTCCCTGTGTCTCCTCATCACTGTAACTGTTTGGCATGAGAATATTTTGAATAGAAAATATGAACAGAATCAATCTCTGCCTCTGGGATTTTTTTTTTCCTCTTTGTTTGTTCACTGAGAGAAACCAAAAAATTTTCTTTAGAGTCTTTCTATGTCTGACTTGAGAAATGTGGGAAAAGTAGAGATGTGACAGTCGTGCTCCAGCCTAGATGCATTCCATCCTTTTCTGTAATGCACAAGAGCCTTGTGCTGTTCTTAGAGTGAATGAAATACACATAGAACAGGAGGGATTTTGTGTGGGGAGAAACTTCCCACAGCTGCCTAAGATCAAAACACATGAGGCAGAGGAAGATGGACATCTTTCAGGGGAGCTAGGAAAGTGGTTAGAAGATTCAGCTGTGTTTAGGCCTTTTTATTGGGAATATGTGAAAGCTCAGGAGAGACTTTTTCATGGTAGAAGGTCTGGAAAGGTTGTTCTTAATTCAGCCTTTTGGGATGCTGCTGTGTAAAGACAAGCAGAGACACCTTTTTTTAGCAGGCTGCTAAAGTAGTGCAGTTGGTTGGCTGCAGACCACACATTGGTGTGGAGCTCTTCAGCTTCAGGGGCAAAACCAGCTTGATTGTTGAAAATTGCTTTTTGCTGGCCAGTTTATATAAGCAGCTTTTTGAGGGGATAGAAATGCTTTTTGAACACACATTTGTAGAAAGAATCAGATTGTTAAAATCTGGAGGAACGGTGGGGTGGAAACTTTCATGCTTGAGCTTTGATTCTGCAGCAATAGGTCATGATTTCTGCAACTTTTCACTGGAGTGAATTTATGACTCCATTGCTGAGTCTTGTGCTCCTTCTTTTGTACTTGTAATTCTTAGTGCTGGTCTGTATTTGTTGATGAATTGATGGTATACTTGGCTTCACTGCCAGGTTGGAAGCTGTGTTCAAGCTCAAGAAAATATCCCATAATAAGGGAAACTGGAAGGTGAAAAGCTGTGTATTTACAAATATGCTTGCAGAGTCTTAAGTGTTTTGATGGGCAAGTTTCAGTGGGAATGTGGGATTTTTGTTTCACTGCCTTAAAATCTAAGTAACAGGAAAACCAAGTAAAAAGCCTGGTGACTTTTACCACAGTAAAGGATTCCAGGCAAAACAGTTTAATTCCCTGATTTTTCAGACTGCAGACACAGGAACAGAGGGGAAAATTAATAAAATGGCAGAAGAGACTGAGTCTTGGAACTGGAGGATGAACAGTGGTGTGTTTTTACAGCCTCGAGAAATAGGCAGATTGCTCTGATTCACTGAGGAGTGGCCATTATAGAGGAAGAGGTGAAAATAGTGGCAAAACCAGCACTCAGACCAGTCTGTGGGATCCTCAAGCAGCCTTTGATTACTAGTCATTACTGTGGCATCAGGAGTGGGACAATGAAGTGTGGGCTTGTTCTTGAAACTGTCCCATCTGCAGGACACTCCATCCACGTTCAGAATTCTGCTATGAGAGCAGAATGCGAGAGACCAGCTGCTTCATGGGCAGAGACAAGCTACAGAAGCTTTTGTGAATGTGTAAAGGATGGTCTTACAAAGGGTGGGGAGAGGTTCTTTTAACTTCCTGGAGACAATACCTCTCTTTCAAAGACCCACAGCGCCTTGTATTTTTGCCTCACAAGTGCCAAATCTTACTGTTCCATTCTGGCCTCATGTCAGCAGTACATCACACTGGAGACAGGTAGCATCGCAGAGGTCAGTGGCAGGCTTTTGATCCTAAGATCTGCTCTGCTTCACTGTTGTTTATTTCTTCTCCCCATGTACTCCCTAATGTAATCTTCCCCCTTCTGCAAAGGTTGAATGAAGAGGATAAAAGTAATGAGTCACAGTAGGAAAAGTTGCTGTCTGGAGATGAAGAGACAGAAGGAATTTTCTGCTGCAGCTTCCAACAGAGGCAAGAGGTTTAGAGGGATCTCATTTTTCAACTGGCTTCACTCTCTGGCACAAGAGTCCAAGGCTGTAAGGTGAAATGTGGGTTTTTGCCTCTGTTTTTGGAAGGTGTCAAGTAACCAAGTTGCTGTGGAGTGTAGAGCACAAGGTACACAAGAACAATGAGTAACTACTTTTGTTGGCTTTGGGACATGAGGATTGTTTGTGAATCCTCACTGGAAAAGCTTTCTTATTAGTGAAGCAAGAAGGGATTTGGGAGCAGAAGCGTGAAGTAACCTCTCTGTGTTTGTATCACATGAGCCATAACAATTTAGCTTCTCATGCTAGATGTAAGAGAAGTGACATTCATAAAGGGACCTGGAAAACTCAACTGCTTTTCAGGATTGTTAAGTGTCAGTTAACCATGGAGTGGGAACAAATGCTTGTGGCAAAACTTAAAAAAATGTATGGCCAGTACTCAGTGATGGACAGAAAAATGCTGGAGCTGAAGTTCAAATAGAATCTAAACTACGCCAAGAAGAATGATCTCATGGTTTGAGCATGTTGAAACGGATAAATTACTCTTCCAATTACCACCCCTCATATTCTCAGAGAATTAGGAAACACTGTCATTTGCACTGTGCACTTTTTGCTGTCTAAGAGAATCTACAGTAAATGGAATGGCATCATGTGTATTGCATGTGTTAGCTGTAGCCATTGGACAGCAGGTTTTTAATCAGCTGGATTTTTCACTGTATACATTTGGCCCTAAGGAGAATTGCACTCGCGGTTCCTTTTACCAAAAACACAACCATCATCTCAGAGCACATGTAACAAAAACCATGTTAGTCACACGCATGTCTTTGTAGACTTTATTTTTGAGATTATAAAATGAGAAAAAAAAAAAGAATTTTATATATTTGCAAGGATCTTGCCAGTTGTCCATTTCTTTGAAGTCTTGACCTCAGCATTCCTTTTAGAATAAGTTTAAAATTATTATCCAAACACAGCCTCTCCAAAAGCACTAATTGATGTATTTTTCAAAACCAGCTACAATTGCATATAAGTCCTGCCACAGAAATGTGGTTTTTGAGGTATTTTTTCTGTTTGTTTTTAAAGGGACACTGAATAAAAAAGTTTGCATGTTTAGAGAGAACGTTAGACACCACTTAAGTTCACAATATTGAAGAGTGTAGGTACTAGGTAATGTAATAAACTCTGCTGATTGTCTGTAGCTCCCCACATACTGTGCTCTCACTATGCAGAGGATAGAGAAGTGTCTGTGCATTTAGAGATTGATGAAGCCCTTCTACCCCTTTGGATTAATGTTATCTGAAAGCAGGAACCTGGAGGACATATCTTCCAATTTCCCTCCCCCTGTGACTGAAACTTAACACTAAAACCAAATTTGTCTGTATTTCCTGCTTATTTTGGGGTAAAGAGTGCTGGGAAAGGATGTTCATTGTTAGATATCAACAGGTCAGTGCTGGCAGGTCCAGGCTACTGCTGTTGGCTTTATGGCAATGTCCTCCATTGTATGATGCTGGAGCTTGATTCCTGGCACAAAAGGGATGTTTGAAAGAACGTCCCACTGGGTTAGCAAATACCAGAACTTTTTATAGTAATATGTCCAAAATGCTGCTTGTATAGAAATAGTCACTTTTGTAAGAAAAAAAAAGTCACACCCCCTGAACCCCCATTTGATGCCATTACATAAGATTTAATTTAAGCTACCTCTCAGTGTGAAATTCAAATGTTAGTTAAGTTTAATAAGATTTTCTCACTGTTATTTTATGTAAAAGTTATAGTGAATGCCAAAATTGCAGAAGTTTATCACCAAAAAGGAAAAAAAGTTAAGTTTGTTTTTTTTTTAATGTGTATTTGAGAATATCTAACAGTTTCAAGTTATTGTAAATTCTCTTAAATTCTTTTAACTTCTGTAGTTTCAACCTTGCAAACTCTAGCTGCTGGACAGGAAATAAATTATAACCACAAGCTTTCATAACTATGGTCTGCTGGGTAAAACGAATTTTGTATGGAGCTTTGTTGTTTGGATACAGATAGCCTCAGTCACCAAATGTACCATTCATTTGGTTGTGTTTATTTTTCTTCTTCTTGAGACATGAACTTGATGAATGGTGTGTTCTGTAATGGATGCGTGCCACAAATTACATGGTCTCATTTGCCTCTTTTCTGACTTTTAATGATCAGTTTATTATTTCAGATGTGAATATTGTTCATACAGCTTAATTTCTGTATAATTGTATAAAATATAAATGGAAAAAATATAAGTTTTTACTTGTTATTTAGAAGTAATGTATTATAAAATACTTATGTTGCAGTTTTACTTACAGAGTACTGTACTTCTAAACTGGATCCTGCCATCTTGGTAGGTGTAGATAGATCTTTTGCATGAGTCTGTTTTAGTTTTAATTTCTTTTTAATTGAAGTTTTATTCTCTTTAGTTCTGTTTTTAGTGTTTGTGTTTACTACTTGTGATCATGTAGTTGTGCCTTACATTGTAAAAGAGTTTAGTCCAGTGTGCACTGTAATTCTTAAACTCTGTGGTCTGGAAGATGGCTATGGATTTGAATGGGAACGTGACACCATGCATCAGCGGGTTCTGTATAAACTATGATGAATTGTTTCTGAAATGTCATTTTTGTTTTCTAATCTGTTAAAGGAATGATTATTAATAATAATAATAAAAAAAAATTAGACCTTTCTAATAGACCAGGTTATATCATTTAAAACGACCTTGCCCCATTTCAGACAGCAAAGCTACTTTGAAATGATGGATATGTAGTTTTACAAATTAACTGTAGGGAAGCCATATATGTAAGAGCAAGCTAAATGTTACAGTTTCTTAGAGTTGCAGGGAGCTGCAACAAAGGCTTTCACATTTCTGAGGACACACTAATAATGACTGTTTTTCAAATCTGTTTTTTTCACAGGTTAAATTCAGAGTAGTCTTTTCATTCCACAGCAAGGCTGCTGAGTATCCCACATTTGATGAAAGTCCTTCTGTCACACTGGCTGTGTTCTGACATCACATTTGATGTAGCAGGACAATTGGCATAACTGGAAGACTCAAAAGTAGCACTTGTTTAATTATAGACCAATAAAGGTCTCACATGTGAAATGGAAAGCTCTTTCAGGGTGGAACTGTGTTGCAGAGAGAAACCAGGGAAATCAGTCCTGTGACAAAGCCACTATTGAATTATGTAGGCACAACCAAACAACACATGTTTAGCTATTGAAGCAGGGGCTCTGTTTAGATATGGAGAGGAGAGGTCTCCTCTGAAAGGCAGTTTGAATTGGGAAGTCAGTTTCTGCCTCAACTGCTTCCTGAGGTGTCTTTCTCTGCATACCACAGAAAAACCTATTGAGCTCTCCATGAAGAGAAGCCCATGTGTAAATACTTCCTTCCTCTGGGCTGTCCTCCTTGGAGACATGCTGGTCTCCAGGAATGATTGCTTGTCTGGTAAAGTAAGTAGACCTGGCTAAAGACTGTTTTTGGTGAAAAGTATACAAAGTGAAATACCCTCTCCCTTCTGCCAGCACACAAAGCACAGACTTTAGTCTGTCAGGTGTGACGACTCTGGGCTTGAAATATCTTTATCTTGTCAGCACTGGTTTCAGGATGCTGTGAGGTTTTGGTGAGCCCTCGGTGTGATGTGATGTGCAGCTGAGCATGGGATTGGTGGGATGGAGCACAGCTATGTCAGCCAAGCTTTGGTGAGGCATTGGCAGCTTGTGTGATGCTCTGGTACAGATCTGTCTGCACTCTGTTCTGCCCTCCTGCTTCACACATTCACCACTTGGCATGGAGCACAGCCATGTGAAAGATGGAGCCTAGAAAGCCGTGACAAAAACTTGCCCATGATAGATGTGGCGGAAGAGCAGGAATTTGTCTATCACAGTGGCCAGGCTGTATCTGAAGAGCACTGGAACAGGTAAGTGCATACATATGTATAGATACATACACAGGCTTAGTATTAATGTAAAAACCATCTCGTGATATTATAGGTTAGTGGGTAGAGACACATAAATATCAGGAGCTATGGCTACACAATTCTAATTTAATGGAATTTATTAATACAGTTTGAATGATGCAATAACCCTTCTAAACTTCTCTGGTGAATGAGTTGTCCTTACCAACAGAGGGCTTTTTTTCTCTGTCATGCTTTCTAGAAAATGACAGTCTCTATTAAATTGTGGCAAGGTGGCAAGAGCCTTCCTAGGTGAAACAAAGTGATACATCTGTTGCATGCTTCATTCCCCTCCTCCAATTTATTCTGACTTGGTGTAGTCTATGCACCATACTTTTGTCAAGTCAGAAATCTGTTAGCTTTAGAGACCTAAGGCATTTTGAAAGAAACAGCCATATTATCACCACAATAGTCTTCCACTGGCTCTGTCAGAGCAGTGCTGACATTAAATTTCAGAGGATTCAGTAGGGAAGCAGAAAGCAGTGCTTTTCTTGGTTTGATGTTGTGTGGTGTAATTGGAGATTGCTGTTTCTATCTGTGACATCCATGCTTTCTGTAACAAGAAAAAGTGTTTGTAAACCAAGACAATCTAAAAAATTTCCAGTAAGCTAGATGCATAAATATCCAGAGCCTTTAGTTTTATTTAGCCTCTCTTTAGGCTTGTGCTCATAATTGCTGAAGGAAACATGAATTATCCCACAACTGAAACTCTCCCAGTTATTCAGGCCACTATATGCTGCTGGAATCTCTGTCTGAGGCCAGGGATTTCCAGTAAGTATTTCCATTATTGGTTGGAAGGTAGGATTTTAATGCTCTGCTTGCAATGGTGTAGTTTGTTGCAGGCTATTTCACCCCTTTCTGTGTAATGTTTATTAATTAGCTTAATGCTGTCCTTGCAGTTTGGGCTCCTCATTTTTCTTTTTAAGACAGCTCCAGTCCTATCAGCATTACAAGTTCTGTCCCCTTCCAAGATCTGCCATGTGCTGCCAACTGAATTTCAGTTTCTATTACCATGCTGACAGCATTCAGGTCTATGTTTTCTGTCATCCAAGTATGAGGACAGGGGTGATGGAGAGAGAATTTAAAATATATAACTTCCTTCTCTCTGCTAGTCCAGATAATCTGGTCACAGAAGTTGAGTTGTCTCTGAATTGCTATGATTAGACACTGGACTAAACTTAAAAGGATTTTTCCTTTGGACTAAAACCTTTAAAGGGCCATTTCAACCCAAACTATTCTATGATTCTATGACATTGAGAAATGGTAGCTGTGGTATGAGGGCAGTTTTGGAAAGGGAAGGTCATATTTCAGTAACAGGAGAAAGTAATGACTTGAGTGGATAGCTATTCCAAGTACCAGCCAGTGACTTAAAAATGGAAAGAATCCACTCAATATTTCTCTTAGAAAAGGTCTACCACCATTTACTTGTAAGAATTTGTATTAGTGGTGGTCAAATTTCTGTGCATTAGGTATTAGAGACGGGAATTCAGCTTACATGAGAAAGCAAAATACTGCACAGTGCCTGACACACTTTCAGATGTTACATGCAGTGCTGTTACTAGAAATGTGTCATGGTGTGAAAATGAGGGGTAAATTTATATAACAGTGGAATTAATCATACCATCTGTTCAGTCTGAAATTGCAAAATACATGTTGTGAATAGATGAGCATGTGACATTTTCTTATCTGAGTACTATTGCATGTGAGTTGGGTTTAGGGGGGGTTGTTTTGGTGTTGACTTCTTTGGAGGGGCTGACCATCTTCTGTGACTCAAGAAACGGATCTATTTTTTTTTTTAACCAATCAGAATTGATAATGTTTTTCAACAAGAATATGACCTGCTATCAACCCTGATAGAAAACTGGAACATGTTCAGCAGCAAAAATTCTGTAACAAATATCTGAGCCAGAGCACTGGTGTGTTATTTTGTTTTGTTTTAGTTTTGGTCAAGTGTCACAACTGTAAGAGATTCTTATCACAGCATGACCACTTTTAGGCTGCCACTCTCCTTTAAGGGAAGCATAGTTGTGTAATTAGAGAAGAAAAAAAGAAGATGTGTTACCTACCTTGGCAGTTTCTGTCTGAGCTTGTAGCAAGAAGACTGCTATGCACTGCCGATACCTGTTCTCATGCTGAATTAGAAAAGCATTTCGCAGGCTGAAGACTGTGGGAAAATGTAAAAAAGTGATCTAAATGCACCTCATACAACCATCAGTCCAATTTTATATCACATTGATTATGATAGAAGAAATTATATATGTAAGCATCTTTTCTATTTCTAAAAGGGCAGTTGCACCTCATAGGGTAAGTTAATTTTGTTGTGTAGGAAGATTTATTTTTTCAAAACTTTCATTCTACTTCCTTTTTTTTTTATTTTTTATTGCTTCATCATGGTGCAGCTAAGATGCTTTTGAGTCTGCCTGAGGATCATTAAGAAATATTTCCCTTCAAAGTGGCCTAAATCATAAGTGAAGTTAGAGAAAAACAAGTATCAAAGATTAAAAAGAGAGGTCCCATTTTTATTTTATTTAAGTAAGTCCATATGATGGCTGGCACATGGAGAAGTGGCTGCACTCAGGCTGGTGTTGCCTTTGGGTTCTCCCTGGGAATGTGCCTGAGCTTGTGCTCTGGGGGATGCCCTGGTTGGCTGCTGCAGCCAGGCATGTTGCCTCTGTTTCCTACAAACTTTTGTTCTGAAGATGAATGTGAGCATCATGTAGTGCTTTACTCTGCAAGGGGACAAAGTGAAACCAATGTCACACATCTGGAATAAAAGTGGGGCTCAAGTTAGTGATTTTCTAATCAGAAAGTATGTTGCTGCTTGCAACCTTCAGAGCTGGGTTCCTACTATTATATTTACATGCAAAGTTACATCTCTTGTACAAGATCATGGTGTTTGCAGATAGTTCTGCATTTAGGGTACCTTCCTGTTGTTATGGACACACTGTTTTATCTTCTATCCTTTCACTAATGCATAGAAGGCTTTGGACAAGAATTATCCTGCATAATTATCAGCCTCCTGCCTGCTGCCAGAAGAGTATTTCTAGGATATTGCAACATATATTTTTTTTCAAGTACTTGCATTGAGCTTTGTTTATTTTCAAAGTGATGTCAATCCTCAGCAAACTATCAGATGCAAAAGTACTTGCTAGATCAAAACCCAGGATTTAATTTTTGATTAATGTGATGGATCACATGACCTTTCTGAGAACATGCTTACTAATCTTTTAGTGCCACCAGTAATAAAAGTCTCTTTGAGACTGCAGATATATTGGCAACATTCCCCAAGGTCACACATTCCAGACAATATTAAATATTTTTTTTTTTTCCTCCTGCAAAGGGACATTTTCTGTTGACATTGGAATGTTTGCTTGTTGTTTTACACAGAATGTGGGAATCTGAACTGCAATCTCCCTATGGTAATTTTTCTCACTGTTTTTATTGTACCTCACCCCAAGGGGTCCTGTATTAGCATGGGGCTTCCAGGGTGTTATAAGACTACAAGTGAGTAACAGAGACTGCCATGGCTACAGCTGTAATAAAGCTGGTAAGAATATATGGGAGAGAAGCAACAAGGACGAGGGTGCAGGGAAAGGTCATACCCAGTGGACAGAGCCTAGGCTGGAATGCAGAAGACAGATTTTTCTATTATGATGATTGCAGCTGGATCATAAAGATTAGAAAGACCCTGGTTAGGAATCTCTAATGGGAAATGCTGGCTTGGGGGAAAAAAAAATCCAAAAATATTATTTCCATTTCCATTATGGTTCTTATGGTCAATCTATTAGGCACAAACTGGAGGATGGCTGCACTGCCTTCTCCCAGTACCCAGGAGCTGTTGGCCTTGCATTCAGCCTGGGCTTACTCAGGATGTGGTGCTGCCCTCCCCACCACCCTGCAGCCGAGAGGTGGCTGATACATTTGCTCTGTTTCTGTTGGTTTGGTAGGGGGTCTAACAAGGCAGGCAGACAGTGCCTGGAACATGTTTAAAAAAAGATTACCATTCTTTATGTTCATCCCCTTATCTTGTCTTTAGTAATTTGCCTTTTATTGCCTACCTTTATATCCTCTCAGCATTGATGCTGAATACTAAATAGTCTGAATGTATTTCAAAGTTATCATAAATTTTACAGACTCTAGGTTTATTTTCCATATCTGTTGCTTTCTCACAGAGCACTGTAGCTCCCTAAGGTTTTCCTCTCAGTCTTTAGGATTAGGATGACCCTGGAGCCCAGAGATTTGTATTTCTTTTCATTCTCTTTGATGTAGGAGGCTCCTGTTACCTTGGCAGTGTTAGACTGAATCATTAAGGCTTGAAAAGACCTTCATAGTCTTTGAGTCCAACCTCTGACTGAACACACCACCATGTCAGCTAGACCACAGCACTAAGCACCACCTCCAGTCATTTCTTGAACACTTTCAGGGGTGCTGACTCCACCACCTTCCTGGGCAGCCTGTTCTAATCCTTAACCACCCTTTCTGTGAAAAAATTCTGGGTGTCCAACCTAAACTCCTAGTGCAGCTTAAGGCCATTTCCTTTTGTCCCATTGCTGGTTGCCTGGGAGTAGAGGCTGCCCCCCACCTGGCTACAGCCTCATTTCAGGTGACTTTAGGGAGTGAAGATGTCACTCCTTTTCTCCAGGGTAAACACCCCCAGATTCCTCAGTCACTCCTTTTAAAAATTACTCTTGACACCCTTCCCTAGGTTCACTGGTCTTCTCTGGACACACTACATTCTCAATGTCCTTCTTGTAGTGAGTGGCCCACAGCTGGACACAGTGTCTGTGGTGTGGCCTGACCATGGCCAAGTGCAGATCTCTTCCATAGTCCTGATGGCCACATTATTGCTCATACAGGCCAGGATGCCATTGGGCTGCTTGGCCACCAGAGCACACGCTGGCTCATGTTCAGTTTGCTGTCAACCAGCAGCTCCAGGTCCTTTTCCTCTGGGCAGCTTTCCAGCTGCTGTTCCCCAAGATCATAATGCTGCATGGTGGTGTTGTGACTGAAGTGCAGCACACAGCACTTCACCTTATTGAATCTCATGCAGTTGGCCTCAGCCCATCAATGCAGCCTGTCTAGATCCCTCTGCTGAGCCTTCCTACCTCCAGTGGATAAACACTCCCACCCAAATCAATGCCATCCATGAACTAAGGGTTCCCTCACTCTCCTCATACAGGTCTTTTCTAAAGGTGTTAAACAGGATCAGTACCAATACTGAGCCCTGGGGAACGTCACTAGTGTTGGGGAACACCAACTACACGTGGCACCATTCACCACTAAAGTGAGGTGTGAGAGTCTGCTGCTGAGACCAAGGCAAGGCCTGATGTTTCATGCCTGCTCCCTGACCCAAAACCTTATTTGGTGACTTCAGGAACCTTGTTTTGGCAGGGTAAGGCTGTTCATTCCCTGTGGTTCTCTTTCACTCCACACCCAGCTGCACAGCAGCAAGGGATAGGAGGCATATTCCCCAGTGACGCATTTGGATGTCTGAGAGCAAGGAAGCACTTGTACGGTGGGTGATTCCATCCTCTCAAGAGCTGGTGGGGCTGTGAGTAGGAGCTGTAGCAGGAGGTAAATCTCTTCTCCAGCTTCTTTGAGCATGGCTGCATTGTATGTGGGAGGACACCCAGGAGAACAATGCTGTGGTGCAGCTGAAAAAATGCTGCACAACTAGTATGGAACTGAAAATGTTCTTGGGAAAGATGCCCAGGCTTTGATAGAGTGTGTTAGGACAGTTAGGATGAGGGAATACTTGGCTTGTAGTAGGAGTCTTGATACCTCCTTTGGGGTGAATGGATAATACATGACTGTCACTGGTGTGTGAGTCACTGCTGGCAGCAGGGCCTGTGAAGTCTGAGGCAGTAGCTCATGCCTCACAGGAGCAGAGCTGTGAAGCCAGGCAGTGCTGAGGCACCAGTGTTTGCACTCCAGGCATCTGGGGGTGGTTTGTGGGCAAACAGCAGCTTCTCCTTATGCTACTGCACACACAGTGCACTGACATGGGGTTTATGAATGCATTCAAGTGCATGCAGGCACATACCTGTAACTTGGATGGGTTCAACATTTTTCAGTACAAGTCTGTCTAGTGGGATGGGCTGGTCTAGGACTGTGCAAAATCCCCCCTCTCTTATGAAGGACTGCAGCTCAGGAGTGAGGGAAGGACAGACAGGGATTAAGCTGGTGTCTGAGCCTCCATATTTCTGGGAATAGAAAATGAAGTTGGTTAGCAGGTTGTCTGCTATCTGCTCATGAAATATGGGTGCTAAACAATTCTAGATTTGCTCTAAATGTGTTTTCTCTTATGAAAGATACAGAGACAGCTTGTTTTCATGAGGAATCTTATAAAAACTGGCTGGTACCTGGAGCTCTCCTGCAAGGTCACACTTCACATTAAAGAGCTACAAAAGAAGCACAATACAAGGCCACAAGCAGAAGATAGACATTCCAAAAGTATTTTCCCCCCTTTCCTTATTATTTTAGTAGCAGGTTTTTACCTCCATTCCCTGGGGGTAAGTTTCCTCATCTCCCCTTATGTATATGCACAAGACAGAATTCCTGGAGCTCCAGATGAGTTGCAGCCCTTCACAGAAGTTTCATCAACACATGTACATGGGACAACCCTCAAAGAGATTTGCCTAAGAGTACCAGATCCCTTGAATTTCTGCTTCCTTCAACCAAACCCGTTGCTAAGGCATGGCGCTGCTAGTCTAAAACCTGTCATTGCATGCTTTCTCTATCTCAGTTCTCTCTAAAGCAGAACACCTGCTTCTTAAACAAACAAACAACAAACCTAGGAGATTTATCACAGGTTCATTTAGACTCAGTTTACATCAGTTTCATAAACTTAATTAGCTAAATGCACTCCTACACGGAAGCTTTAGGAATTTCAGGTCATCCAGTCTTTCTGTTGGTGTCTAAATAAAGATATTTATCATCTATAGAACTCTATAGCATCATTCATCAAGAAACATTTTCTTAAAAGGAGTCATATCCCAATTTTAAACTTGGGGAAATCAAGACAAAGAGTTCAACATGCAGCGTAGGCAATCTTCCATCATTTTAACCTTTCCCTGTTTTTTTGGTTTTTTTTTTTTTGGTTTTTTTTTTTTTACTTAATTTTTTTCTTCTTTCCAACAGTTCTGATATCTCTGGGATAAAAAAAAATTCAGGTTGCAGGGACTATTAGAAAAAGTCTTACATTCCTGAAACTTTTCTGAGCTTTATGAATCCAGCACATCAGAACAACATCAGGAAGATATTAAGGTCTTGTAATGTAAATTCTGCCTGTAATAGTGTTGCTGTACCATATTGAGCCTAGAAGCAGGCTTTTGAATCAGTGTTATGGTTTGCTAGTTGCATAAGGAAGTATCAGCTGTTCTTCATACTGATTAGTCATCTTGTATTTTTATCATTAGATCAATCTTCCAAAGTACATTCAAAATCCATCCAAAATCTAAAAATATAACAACTGCAACCATATATATCTGCAGACATTATTACCTTTTTGTTACGTTTAATTTTGGTAATCAGTAGGAAATCATCAAATAAAAAGAGATAGACGTCAAGGAGTCTTGTGCTTTCTAAGAAGGAAAACAAAAAAAAAATCAGTTTTATTTGAAGGAATTGCTGCTTCTAAGATGGGGCACATCTATGAATCACTGCACCTTACAGAATGCTTTTAACAAAGAAGCCTTGTTTCCCGTATAGTTCACGACTACTCATCCTCCAGTCTGCGTTCTCAAATGCACTAAATCCTACATCTCAGTCATTTTGGCTACTAAATTTGTACTAAATTTGTAAATTTTGGTACTAAATTTGTACCTTGTAGCAGTTACCTCATTCTGATAAAACTGCTACTTGCTTGCCAAGAAAAAGGACAATAAACAATCGTACAGACTACTCATCCTATTGGCAGCTTGGCTGTATCTTAGTCTCTCTCTGATAAACTATACAGTTGCTTTTCCTTTCTTGCACCTGCCCAAATGCTGTTGCAGAGGTTCATTATGGACCTGCCATAGCAATGTATAATTCTGTTAAGCCATCTCTGGACACCAGGAGATTCAGGAACATTACCTGCTAGCATCAGCCTCCCTTCATGAAGGAGAAGTCTGTTTGCTGAAGACAAAATGTTCTCACTGGTGTTTTCTCTTAAGTTTTGCTTCAAACACTTGACCCAAAAAGAGAGAGAGAGAGAGAAAAAAAAATGGGGAATCATGCATAATGGATGATGAACTGGAAGGCAACCAGCAGCTAAACAAGATGAGCATATGTGTGTTCTTACCTCAGGCTAAGTACATCACACAACTGATAACTGAGCATGCCTGTGTTTCTACAGCAGTGCTATTGCTTAAATGTGTTTATGCTTTTGAAATGTTAATCTGAGTTTTACTTTTCCAAATTGAGTTCAATAGTGCTTGCAGCCGTGAACAGACATAATCCTTGAGATGAGACCCACTTGATGATGTTACCATAGTGCTGCTTAAAGTCTGTCTGGGTAACGGGGTAACTGCAGCAGAAATGTGCACACCCAGGTATGCTGTGTAATGTTTTGTAACATAATTTAAGTGTAAATGGAAAGTTCTTTGGCTCAGCTTGAGAAGTGAAAGAGGCAAATAATTTCTACTTTATCTAATGCTGGTAATACTTACATCTGTTCCATTTCATTCTGTCCCCTAAAAGCAAGTATGGTAGAGTCCTCCTGGACTGTGTATCACTGCCCTCTCTTGGATGCTGACTGAGAGCAACCCATGCTGCCGTCCAAGGCCCTGTGTATGTTCAGCTGCAGTGCCCAGGCTGCAGCTGCTCCTGTTAGAGCAGAGCCATCCCCACTAACTAGAATACAGACAACCAGCCAAATTTAGACCACACTATGAGGACAGATAGGAAACTAAAGCCTCCTCTAGAAAAAAAAGAAAGAAAAAAAAAGAGCCCTTTAAAATCTGCTTACCTCTGGGACAAAGAACCTTTTGTCACGATCCCAGACCTGAGGCCAAATTATGACCTCTTGCAGCTGCCTGAACTTCTGAAAGTTGTCCAACCACTTGACTTTACCTTCCAGATCCCCTGAAATGTGTGAAACACCAGTTACTGCCAGGGCTGACAAAAGCAGTCCTGTTTCTAGAAGATGCTGAATACTGATTTTCTCCAGTGAAAGATGAAGTACTTCACATGTGAGGCCCCAGATGAAATCTTGATCTCATTGTAAAAAATGCATAAACTCTACTTAGATCAGCAGGGACAGAATTTCAATTCATGCATTCAAAGATGCTTAAATTCACTGTTAAATGAAAAGGTTGTGTTTACTAATCTGTCTGGGGAGGGAACAGGAATTCATATAAAACTCAATTAAACTGCAATCTTAAAAATATCTTCAAAAAAAGTCCTGTCATTCTAAACTGTCTGGTATAGTGAGAGAAAAATCATTTTCATTAGATACAGCTTGATAAAAATACTGTTGAAATTAATGAGAATTAATTTCAGAGGAAGTGTTGTCAGAAGTGACTGAGGTGGGGGTCCTTCAAAATGTGAAAAAATGGGGACTGTGTCTTTGCTGATTCAAGGCCATTATGGGGAAAGCTTTAATGGACCTTCAACTTAAATTTCAAGTCTTTGGGTGGAGTGATATTGCAGATAATGGTTTCAGACACATACCTCCCCACCAGAAGGGGAGTGCTTGGACTACAACTGTTCTTTATGTTACTGGTTCACTGATCAAAAAACGAAGGCAGATCTTTGTCAGGTGTCTGTGACTAAAGAGGGGTCACCCTTCTATCTTTGGTTTCCTTGATCCAGAAGTGTCTAATTTCTGGAAGGACCTATTTATTCTGCCAGTAATACTCTCCAGACATCCAATGGTCTTTTGGGGCCATACCTAAAACTGCTGTCCTTATATATGTTAAATATACAAATATTTAAAACAAAATGCAGGGTTAAAAAATAATATTCAGACCATCCATTTGTTTTCTGCAATAGCTAGAGAAAATATGTAGCTGAGACAATTTTACATAGTAGGACTCTGTCATTAATGAAAGGTCAGGGACATAATATTCCCCTTGTGAGTGCAAATCTATCCTATTAAGGATCAGCCCTAAAAAAAAATCCTCCTTAGACATAAATCCAACTGAAAGACTTCTTTGTTTGAGATCTTTCTTGATATGTTCCAATTTGAGATCTGATTATAATTGTTTGCCTGTCACTGCAGATGATTCTGAGAAAATACAAGTGACTCACTTATTTGGGAGTCCTGTGACATTTCTCTGAGAGGCTTTGACAGCACAAGGTGGCCCAAATCATTCCCTACAGAATGAGGGTCAGGTCTGTAGAAAGGCACACACATCTTTGTTACTTTTCTCAGGAGACACTTGACCAATTCACACTTCAAAAGACACGCACAAAAAAGCCATGTAACTTTCTAATTTGTAGCTGCATACTTGACTTTTAACCTTTGTTACTTACTTATAGATTTTTCCACCTTCTCTTGAAGTGACTGGATAAAACTTTTCTCTGTTTCATTAGTGCTCCTCTTCCAGATGTTGTTGAGGAGGAGGGGATACCGTGTCAGTCGATGCAGAGGAGCAACCAGCAGCTCTGGCAGATGCAACCTCTTGCACTGTTCATTTTGTTCACACCACTGCTGAAGACAAAGAAAATCTGCCTTAGGCTTCAGCTTCCTTCTGGCTAGGAGGCAGCAAACAGTTTTCTGCATCATTAGCTGACTGTAATGAGACAGGGACTAATGAAAGATGAGTTTCTCACTCAGTGAAACAAGGGCAGTATAAAGGATCTTGTCATAGTTTAACCCAGCAAGTATCTAAACAACACAGCCACTCATTCACCCTTCACTCCTTCCTGTGGGATGGGGAAGAGAAATAGGAAATGAAGAGTAAAGTTTGGAGTTTGAGATAAAGGCAGAATAAAAACAGAAGGGGAAAACATAACAGGACATACAAAACAAATGGTGCACAATGCTCACCACCCACTGGTCAATGCCCAGCCAGCCTTCCCTCTAGTTTATACACTGAGCATGACTCCATATGGTATGGAATACCCCTTGTGCCCGTTGGGGCCACCTGTTTTGGCTGTGTCCCCTCCCAGCTTCTTGTGCCCACCAGAGTCCTCGCTGGTGGAGGTGAGAGACAGAAAAGTCCTTGATTTAATGCAAACTGCTTAGCAACAAGTAAACATCAGTGGGTTATCAAAGTTACGCTCATCTTAAATTCAAACCACAACACTATACCAGCTACTAGGAACAAAATTAACACTATCCCAGCCAAGCCAAGGACAGCTCTCTATAGGGGGAATTGCATTGTCCCTCCAGATTCACCTTCTGCATTGCTGCTTACCATTCCAGATGCTGTGGCCATGCTATCATATCAAGTAGGGCTCTTATTTATCTGCTGTTTTAATTTCCTCAGGAAGACCTGAGAAAGTTAACCTGAGTTAGGTTTGAAAGCCACCTTATATTTTAGGGTCACTGCTACTTGTTAGGGAACATTTTTCCTGGGTGTGAATGTATGAAATCCTTGTCAGGGAGCAAGCAATGTGAAACTCCAAGGCCCAAGCTGCAGAGCTTGCCTGGTGCAAAAAGACATCCTTCCAGTTTTGGGCTGCCTGTGAGAAAAGCCCACTACTTCAGATTTTCTCTTTCTAAGCCTGTAATATTGAAGATTAATCTTAAGTATTTAGGGGGCACACTGGTCTGCTAACGATGCCAGAAAGAGCAGAGCCTGAGATCCCCCCCACTGCACTGGTGGAGTTGGTGCTTCAGGCAGGTGCAGTGCTCTAGTGCTGCAACTTGATAAAGAGTCCACTGATAGCTCTTTACAGCCTTAGAGGGAGGTAAATTCTCCCTTACTGGTATTGTTTTGATGCCGAAGTAAAACATTTGAAAATTATTTTTGTGTCTTTTTTTTTCTCCCTGTAATCATTTCACTTTGTTAAAGTGGAGTTCACTGAGTCAAGAGATTATGTGGAAAACATATGAAAGAGGCTAGCAGATTGTATTTCTGCCTGCAAAAATGCAGCCCAGCTTTTCCCCCTCTTATCCATTCTAAATTACACGTAGGGACTTTCACACGTACACTCAGAAGGGTGACTTCCAGTCAGTGATAGGCTCTGCAGTTCAAAAAATCCATGTTAAATGCTATCTATACAGTTTTGCTTCTCATGAACATTCCTAATTTGTTGTTAAAATCCTGTCATAAGGTAGGAAGGCTGAAGACAGCAACAACAAGAAGAGCAATAACAACAACAAAACCATCACTTTACCTTCAGGTAGATGCCAAAATCTTCTCTCTGTCTCAGTTTTTCCAAGTAGAAGACAGCAGAGGTATAATTAAGGCAATAAATCTGGTGTGTCTGGCAGAGGTCACCCTGGAAAAACTGCAGAAAAGGTTTGGAAATTTATCAAGAAAGAAAAATATGACAAAGGAAGAAACAGGAGTTTTGGGTTTGTAATGTTCATTTTATCTGAGATTTCTTTGTACCTAGGAAAATGGGGAAAGAGGAAATTAAAAAAGTCAAGGGCAGTTAAAACAGCAAGAAAACTGTAGTAAAAATGCCACAATACTTCAGTGATGCATAGGAGTTTTAACAGCTCTGCAGAGGTGTGACACATTCTTAGACTTTGTTCTCATTAGAAGTAAATTATGTGAAATTCATATGGAAGTTGAAGATGAAACTATTTCTTGAACAGCTTTGATGACTTCACATAGCATTGTATTTTATTTCTGAGTGTGCTCTTTGAAATAATAGAGTAGCCTCATTTACATGGAGATGTTGAACGTCATGCATGATAAAAGGCAGCTTTGTCTGGGATTTTGCCTGTCTACACAAACATTATCAATAAGAACACCTGAAGCCAGTGGTCACAGTGGCAAGAAACTAAGCTCTAGCCTTAATTTCTCTGTTAAAAATCTCAAGACTGAGGTAGAGTCTTTTAGTATTTTCCAGAAGTTTTCTAATGGCCTCTACTGGTAGTGAAGGCTCTGGTCAATCAGTTGCTTTTCTGTCTTCATTAATATTTCTAACTTTACAAGCACTGGGAAGCTGAGCAGGAATTAGAGCTCCTGTAGATTGCTGTTCAGACAGCTGCCTTGTTTATCACACAGACTGACCAAAAGGGAGGCAGGGCTTGGCAGTGGTAGGACAACTGTGGCTGCATCTCTCTCTTGCTTAAGAGACACAGGCCAAAGTGTAATTTCAGTCACAATGAGCTCTTAATTAAGCAATTATAAACACTTGTGGGTCTGGTGCATGGAGTAAAGGAGGATCAGTGTGAAGGAGTGGAAGGAGGCAGTGATGGGGCTGGGATCTGGTCTCAGGGAAGCTTCTTTCATAAAGTGGGAAGCTTGCTTCTGCCAGTGGAAAAGTCTCCTCAGAGTCTGGGCTGCTGTTCCCCAGGAGGAGAAAACCTTTCCACACTTCATTCTACATACAGAGTGCCTTTCCATGACTGCTTCAAACATGCCAATGAATAAAAATAAAATCATCCTTCTGATAGGAGCAACCTGAGGCTGAGACCAAATTGCCTGGACAGATGGCATGGATTTGACTGACCTGATTGCTCTGGAGCACCTGTGTGCCATGATAAATGGTCTGCTGCTTGTATTAAAAGCAAGAATACTGCTAATTAAGTTACCGCTCTGAGTATGGAGCTGAAATCCATGGGAGAGTCTGACTTGCTGACATGCTTCTTCACAGTTTCAAAAAACATTTTCAGAAAACTGAGACTTATCTAAGTAAGGGAAAAAAAAATAGCATCAGTAATCCAAAGTTAAGATTAAAGCAACTTTATTTCCCATCCCTGGTCTCCCTAAAGGCTCTAAGTGTAATGGGTGCCTATACTTATCTCTAACATTCCCAGAATTGTCTTCAGAATTATGCCCAGAATGCTTTAATTAGTCAGAAGCTAAGACAAATATATACAAATGCCATATGCAATATAAGTGACTATGTTGTGATAATGCCTGATGACAAAGGCTTTGGAACAAGATTAGCTAGTCCATTAAACTTATCTTAGAGTAGCAGCTGTTTTTAATATTAAACATTAGAAATTTTAACATTAGAAATGACAATGGGTATCTGCTGGAAAACACGGATTGCATATGACAGAGCTGTGACAGTTAAGGAAGCCTTCACGGTCATTTGAGGAAGACATCATCTTTCATGGTTTGAGTTTATTTCATACAATTGAAAGTGAAGGAAGTATCCATAAAATACTACAAAACCTCACATATTCCCCATAAGTTAACATGTTTATATTGGATTCAAAAGTGCCTACCTTCTCAGTCAGATAGGGCTGCAAGCCTGCTCCTAAGCCCACACTTTCATCCTGAACACAGTGTTTTCACAAAAATTCATGACTGGGCTAAGTTGTTGGCAAAATGTTAGGCCAGAAGGGCACATCAATTCCCTGTGATACTGCTACAGACTGTAGTAACTGCAGACTGATTTGTTTGGTGTATTTATGGGGGCAAGGATGCTTATAGGATGATGCTTATTCTTTAATTTTGACCTTTACAATGTTACAGCATGCATTTTTTCATGGATTCAGACTGCTGACAAGAAGATATGCATACTGTAAAATGTATGAAAAAAGGCACCAAAGACATTAAGAGCAGATTAAATTTTCCTATATTTAATCAATATTTAAAATATGCATAACAGATTATAATTTATTATCCTCATCAATAAGGACAACAAAATTTGAAAGCAAAGCAAGACTTTTTTTAGGATAATTTTCTCAAGACATGACCAAGCTTCACTCCAGCCAAGCTCAAAGCTAAGTGAAAACACACACACACACACTTATATATATATATATCCCTCTCCCTTCTTTGAACAAGAACAAGAGAATCAAGAACCACACGCCTGCTGAACTCCAGTGGTTGCCTGCATGTACAGTCTTAGTCCACAATAAGCCAAAGATGAAACCTATCAGCTAAAAATCTTTTTCCTTGTATCTCCAAACCTACTGGTTGGTCATTTAGCAGCTCACCAGGTGTGAGGTCTGTGACTGAGCAGCAGTGCCCTGCTCCTGTGTTTGAGTTCTGGCTAATTGTCCCTGCTTTGAAGACCTTTCCCAATTTTCTTGTTTTGGCTAAAAAGGGAGAAATTCAGTCTTAGGGCAAGGCAATTACAGTAAGGGAAATAAATGGAACTAAACAGCTAATTTAGGGCATGTGATGTGATTGTGAGTAGTTATTCAATTAAGGCAGCTGCAGAGTTCTTTCCAAAATTCACTTTGCAATGAAGGGTGACTTGTCCTGTAAAAGGGCCCTCTAGCTAAGAAATTTTGATTTGTTCCTAAAGCAATGTGAAAGCTATTTTTGACTTAGGGGTTTTTAACTTTCAGGAGCTGAAAACGGTCTCCCAGCAAATGGCCAAAAGCAGCAAAGAGCTGGAGCACATCACAGCCAAGCCTTGTGGCCTCCCTCCTTCTGGACAATGCAGAGTAAGTAGTACATGAACACAGAACATCCAGCCTCTGTGGGAGAGATCCTTACATTTGTGCCAAGGGAAACCTCAGCTGGAGAGAGGGGGTCAGTATTTTGTTTGGACTTGCTCTTTTGGAGTGGCACAACAGGCAGCAAAGTCTTTGTGTCCATCTGTTTGCAAGAAGGGACTTGTTACGTAGTTATTTTGCTATTCTTACTGTTTTGCTGCAAGGATTGTGTTGTAGTTTCTCCTCACAAATCCTTTTAAAAGGTTTCTGCTTATGAGAATTCCTCTCAAACTTGAGTTTTCTTCAGAAAGATCAGCCAAATGAGCTCTCTCCCATGTTTAAAATGCCATGTATCTTTGGCTGGCGATATAAGAGAATGATTTGTGCTGATGATATTTGACTCTCACTGATATCCCACAGAGAGAAGAAGAAAAGATGAATTATATGAACAAAGTTCCAAATGTAAGCATTGAAACTGAATACAAGCTTTTGGTTTGTTGTCTTCTTTTATTGGGCTGATTAATTTCTGATCTGAGAAACACTTCTCTTTTTCTGCTTACCTTGTTTAACTCCTCTAAGTTTGCGAAAAGTCTCCACAAATCCACGTCCAAGAGAAATTCATTACTCTGGAGGTATTTGAGAGTGTTCATAAATATCTTTAAAACCAAAACAAATCCGTGTTAATTACTGTTTGTGCCAATTCAATAAATATTTTTTTTTTCCCCCGAAAATAACTTTTTTTACTGAAATCCTTATGAAAGGATCATTTGGTTTAGGGAGGGCAGAAGATGGCATTGTGAGAGAAGTTTCCTGATCTGCCTGAAGGTTATATACTGAATTTTGTGCATAAGAGGGCATGAGTGATGTCTCTGGGGTTTCTCTGTGGTTACCATGGAGGCAGCTGTGTCCCTGCTGTGCCCTTGGGCAGAAGAGGGGCAAATGAGCCCCCTGCAGATCCCTGTGTGAAGGACTTAGTAACATCAGAGTCACAGTTACACATTTCTGTGACCTTTCTAAATGTTTTCCTTCCTACCCCATGAATCTGCTGCTATCTAGATTGTTTAGAGTTACTATGAGGAAAAAAAGATATTCTTGGATTAAGGTAAGTAGAGGTCCTGTGGAGGTTTTTCATCTCTTTGGATTATTTTATTAACCTGCATTGAGTGAAAACTGTGTGTGTATTTATTGGCTGTTTAAGATTTTATATTTTTTAAGCTGGTTGAGATGTACTGAATCTGACCTAAATCTGAAAAGGGCTTAAAATTTACAGGTTACTGAGTAGACTTTTTTTGTTTATGGGTATAAAGCGTTATGAAAAAATCCCATCACCCAGGTGCCAAGACTGAATAGCTAGTGAGAGTGTTTGCTTAGCCTTATATAATTCTTTAGTTACCATGACCAGGTTACCTGAGAGCTTAAATTTATGGTGGATTTATGGTGGTCTTAAAGCTCCCTGTGGAGATTCATTAAAATCAGTGGAATATTTCTATACTTGGAAGTAACCAGGTACCTTTAAAACTGGTAACCCAAATGCAATGGGTTCATTCTGTAGTGGGAGAATTTGGGAAGCTGGCATGGACTGAACAGTTCATCGTTCGTGGGCCATGCAGGGCTGGCTAAGGCTTGTCTGTGGGTTCCTACATCAGACTCACAAGGAGCCTGTTACCTACTGTTATCAGCTTTCTTCCCAGTATTCCACTTTTTAAACTTTCCAGATTTCTAAATAAAGTGTAGAGAAAGAAGAATGCTCTTCTCCTACCTTGAACCAATAGCTGGTCCTGTTATCCTGTTTTCTGTCCCTTCCTGTTTTGTCCCACCAAGGAGGAATTCAGCCTACTCTATTTATTTCCTTTACTTTGAAGTAGCTCTTGTATTGTTCAGGCTAACTTTTCAGCAAAATGGAAAGTGTTTCACAAATGTCTTTTCTTTGACTTAATAAAAAATCAGAAATTGTCTGTGCCAAGTAAGAGAAAAATGGTAGGACAATATTTGTGGAAGCTTCCATCCTTTTAAATGGATACATTAACTTTTGATGTATGGTGAATATAAATAGTGCAGCTATTCTTTTAACAGTATTTAATGTTCCTGTCCATATTTCAAGATCTTAAAATTCACTTTATTTGAGATAATATAGAGTTTTTGGGTGAGGAGTTGTTTTAAGTATACTTGTTTTCATGGAACATTAAAACTACAGATTTGCTGAATTCTGAGGTTTTCATGCTCCAGTCAGGATTATCTAGCCACAGCTCTCTCTGAAGTTAAATGACAAATATAGTGTTGCACACCAGCAACATTAGCAATTGGGATAGTCCAGTACAGAAATTACCATTTTGGGCGTGGCTTCAGTACAGTGTTTGTGAGAGGACTAATGGAATATCAGTTGAATATCCTGGGAAGCTCTGCAGTCAGATGGTAATTGCAAAGCACTAGATTGCATCACTGGAAAGTGATGTTCAGAAGAAGAGATACCAGCATGGAGACAGAAAAGGGAGCTATGGAAACAGGATGAGCAGGCAAGGGGGGAGAAAAAGCCAGGTGCTCATTCCCCCACGGACCTCTAATGAGAGGTTTCAGGTGGCTTTGTGTCCATCACAGCAGAACAAACAACGTTTCATTATTTTTGCGAAGTGAAATCTGACATTACCGTCTTGAGAACCAGCAAATGATCCAGAAAGTATGTGCATTCGCTTGTGAAAAGCTCCCACACTGCCGCTTCTTTTTTCACTTCTAACCGGCTGTTGGCATCTTTCTGCTCAGTTTGTTGCTCATTCATAAATTCGTGCCAAGATTTACTCTATTGATTGAAGAAGAAAGAAAACTGCCATTGGTTGCATCAGCTTCCTCAGACCTTATGAAAAGAATCTATGTCCTATTTACTGTGTAAAATCTACAAGTATTAGCGATTTTTCTTCTGAAGGCTTGAAAGTTCCTTTAAATATTTTAAAACCTGCCATTCTCCTCTAAAATACAATATGAACACACAGAATTTGAAAGTAACACAGCAGGATAGTCTATGTTTAGGTAAGTTGTATCAAAAATTAGTGGGCAGCTTGCAAATGCTAAGGAATTTGATCTGTTGTGCTGCTCTTGGGTGGATGGTATCTTATTTTCTGGATGATAAAATCAAGGTACCAAAGGACAAAGTCTTTATAGTCACTCTTTATAGTCACTTGGAAATTGTTTTGTTTAGTCCTATGGTGGCTACTATCACATTATGGATTTGTTCCAAAGTCAGATGTGTATATATATATATGTTAGGTTTGCTTCAGAGAGGGAATGGTGTTAGGAGGCTAGGGGCCAGAAGCCTTGTTTTTCTGGCAGACAGGCTTTGGTGCCTTTTCTGCAGCCAAACCTTGCTGTTGGCACTGACCTCCATGTACTGCCTTTGAACACAGTAATGGGGGTAGCTGTGTCCCATTTGACCTCTCTCTGATGCTTCTTTTCCCAGACCTGTAGGTGCTGCTGAGAGGGTTGCCTTGATACCTTTTTCTGAATGCGGTATCTCCCTGATCTAGGGCAGCCTGAAACCCTGGCAAAATCCACATGTTTTTGAGGGCCCTTGCGAACCTACTCTGACCCTCCATTTCAAATGACAAAAATATACCATGAATATACCAAAAATATACCATGAATGACAAAAATATACTTACAAATTAATTCAACAGAAATGTATCATATCCAGATTAATGAAATGAGAAATGTTAGCTTATAAAGAACACAAAATCCATCCTTCCATCCTTAAGTATCCCTGATACAGTATACTGAGTATTTTGATACCTTAAAGCAGAAGAATTCATCTCTGCAGCAGTCTATGATCTTAAGAGTTGAAAGACAATTTTCCAGATCAGATGCTTGCTTCTGTTTGTCTTTACCCTGTTGAATGACAAAAAACCACCCTGACTCATACAGTGTTTTGAAGCCTGTTAAGAAATGTACCCAGCTCTGTAACCTTGCCCTAATCTGTAAGGAGTTTGCCCTTAAATGAGTGATTTCTTTATATTTCCAGGCTCTTCTACACAGAGACAAGGCAGTGATGGCAAGTTTCTTTGTAGCTGTGGGTAGGGTGTGTAAATGCATCAGGTTTGGACATGTAAGACCTTATTTACATAATACACAAGTCTTTGACAGGGAAATCATTGGCATGGCAACAGGCAATGAGCTGCCCTTGGAAGACAGAAAAAATGAAATGTTTTGCTTCCCTTAGCACTGTCAGAGATAGGGGACAACAGATTCATAGTTGAAATCCTGTCACAGGTATACAAATTTATGTGTTTGTTTATTTATTTATTTTAATTTTTTGAGCTACATATGGAAAAAGCTCCTTGGTCATTTGCAGAGTAGTGCAGTGTAAAACGAGCTTTCAGAAAGCTAAAAGAGCAGCAGGAGTTTGTGTGAGGGACAATGAAATAAAAACAATTGCTTTTGTTTCAGCTTTGTTTATTTAGGCCTTGTAAAAAATTTAAACATTATTTATGAACTCTCATTTAGTGCTGTGGGCACAGAGTTATAAGGTGTTTGCCTAAGTTTTATCTGTTCTCTGGAACAGTATATTCCCAATTCATGGATTTCTATTGCCTGAACTTTAGGCACTGAACTCCAGCCAATTTTGAAATATGTGTTTGATTAAAATATTTGAAACTTAGGATTTAAGTTCAGCTCCTAATTTTGAAAGAAAGATTGAAATGGAGCAGAAAAAAATAATGCAGTTAATGCATATGCACACTGAATCAGTGTACCAGCAAATGAATCTTCATGAATTAAACTTTATGGCATTTAATAGTCTTAAAAATCACTTTTGTCTAAATATCAAATGCTTTTTATTGCAGATTTAAAATATTTTGCTGAATTAAAAAATCCCCAGGTTTAGATCATGTTCCTTCAAATGCTATGAAACTGCTATCAAATGAAGATGGAATTCTTGTACATATTAACCTGAGCATTGGTTCTGTATGCACAAACTATTTGATAAAATGCAAAAAATACTGGGAAGGGACTGTTCTTAATTACATGCTTAGGGCGAAAAAGTTATCAAAACACTTGTAAATAATTTTTTGAATGCTGAACTGTACACAGAAAGGAAATTCAGACACCTTCGTAAGAGAAAGTTTTCATCAATGGAAAAGACAAGAGTTGTATTAGACAAGGAAATTCCCTGAGTTGTGCTTTCAGTGGAGTGTGAGGGCACCCATGAGGACAGGAAAGGTCTAAGAAAGTGTCCTGGAATGCTATTTTATAGGTAAAGATTAGATCCCTTCCACGTGAGTGGGAGTTCATCACATTCTCCAAAGCCCTGAGGCATGCAGAAAACGCAGGATACATGATGGTCAAGAAGTGATGCAAGTGATTTGTCGACCTTGTGCTGCCTTCACCAAGGGAGATGCACTGGGCCTGCTGCCACCTCTGAATGACAACCCATCCCACTCTGCCCTCCTGCTGCCCTCCTCTACCTCTCCTTCCACCACCCACAGGGATGGGGAGCAGTGGCTGTGTTTTCACGTGTATCACATGCAGTGGCAGCTCTGGAGCCACCCAATCTTCATTGCAGATTAATGTGCAAGCAGTCCCAGGGTGGGCTGAGAGCTCTGAGTTCAGCTCACCTGCTGGCTGCCTTTCTCCAAGGGCAAGAAAGTCAAGAAGCTGTTTTTACCCAGGTTAGTTGTGGAATAAAGCAAGGTCAGTGCAAGGAAAAATAAAATGGTAAAAATACTCACAACTCCTCTTTTGGCAAATGGCCACTTTGACTTTTTGGACTCTAATGGGTAAAACAAATGTTATCAGTAAGGAAACAGATAAAAAAAGAAAACTATTATTTATATTATTTATATATCCAGCTTACAGACTATACTCTACTTGGCTCATATTTAATACTTGAGTTTAAGTAGTTTGTAGGCACCAGACTTAAAACCCATTAAGCTTGTTGGGTTCCTCCCAGCAAGAATTATGACTATTTGTGGTGGGACCTTGGATGGCCCCCTCCTACTTGTTGCAGGTGATCACTATATGATTGAAGCTCTTTACCTGGGAAAGCCATCATACCTCAAGCCAGTTTTTAAAGGTGTTGTTTTAAAGCAAGAATTAGTCTATGCCTTCTCACTATGATAACTTGGAGTTATGCAGGTATTTAAATCTCCAGTGAATAAACCATCCTACAAGCTCTAAGCCTCAGATCTGTCATGGAGCTGGCACAGTCAGGCAGACTGTAATTTGTATCCTTGGTGAGGCACAGGGGAAGCTGGGGATCTAGATTTAGGAATGCACTGGTGACTTGTGAGGAACGACTGTGTTCAGCAAGAAATCTGAAAAGGTTTTCTTTATGTGGCACCCATCTTTGGGTGTGTGACAGGGAATCACAGTCAAAACTTTGTGTTTCTGGATTTTGAAGGTCTCGGCCATTCTGGGAATGGCTGGCTTACTTGCTGTCATGAAAATGCTGGCTGTGACCTTGGCTGACTTGCTTTTTGAGAAAGTTTTGATCTCTGCCAATCACACCACACACACTATACTATATTCTACAACAGCTGTTTGTGGAAATTGCTTGCAGGTCTGCATTTCAGTTTTGGAATGTCTTGTGAGCAACCTCTAGCCATGAATTGGGTTTGCTTTCCTTGTGATCAGAACACTGCTGCAAAGGGCAGCATGGGCCACTTTTGTCTCTGCTTGAAGCTGTGGAGGTAGGAAATTGTACCTCACCTGCTTCCAGATGGAGATCTTGGCCTGGGTTCTGGTTGCTCCTAGCCTGTGGAGGAGCAAAGTGATCTGTGTCCTACCCTCTCCTCTACTTGCATTTTACATTCAACAGTAAAATACGGG